ATGGCCAATACATGTATCCGAGCTATAGAACAACGTGCTGTTACCCTCGAAGTGTGGTAGTGACCGAGTGATTGCACATGAAGTGAGTCAGTTGAATCAGTTGGATGCTGGTTGCGATGGGCATCTTAGGTCCGCCCCACCTTGACCCCGCGCTTCAATTTCTTTCTCTTTTATTTTCCGCATCCCAATCCCATCGTCGCCAGACACCCCCGGCAACCACGGAATAGCTTTAAACCTACTTGTAGAATAACTCCCAAAGAAGGGAAATTGTTAACCGGGATCGTCAAATATGGCGTTCAATTCAGCATCGTCGAATCGTGGGTTACTACTCCAGTTTCATTGAGTTGCGTGACTCATACTGACAGAACTTCTCTGTAGCAATCGGCCACAGGACTGGACCTGTCTCAGAGAGTGTACCGGCTCCGTCTGCTGAAACAAAGGCTGCTATCAAGGAGGCAGTTGAAACCGATATCGCCGCTCCTCATAGACAGCCAGAGGGCGAGGCCCCCAAAAAAGTGAAGACCGAGAAAGAATGTATGGGCTCTTAAGCTTCCAAAAAAAAAAAAAAAGGAAAAAAAAAACCGAATTCTGCTACAACAGGGTTTATTCAGGTGATACAGCGAATTAAGATACTGACTGTGGACAAAGTGGAGAAAGAGCGTAAAAAGGCCGAGAAGGAGGCCAAGTTCGCGGCGAAAAAGGCCGCCGCAGCTGCAGCTTCTGCCACCGCGGGGCCTGCAAAAGAGAAGAAGGAGAAGAAACCAAAGGCCGAACCCGCTGCTCCAGTTGAATACGTGGAGGAAACGCCAAAGGGACAGAAAAAGAGTAACCCCTCCGGACACCCGCAATAGAAGAGCTTTGTGTTATTGACCTCTCTTTCCACGCACAGTTCTAAAATCTCTCGACGACCCGGCATACAAATCGTACAACCCTACTGTTGTGGAATCTGCATGGTACGAATGGTGGGAGAAAGAAGGCTTTTTCGAGCCTGAGCTCACTGCAGATGGCAAAACCAAGCCCGAGGGTGTTTTTGTTATCCCAGCACCACCACCGAACGTCACTGGCGCTTTGCACATTGGTCACGGTCTTACAATTGCCATCCAGGATACACTTATTAGATGGAACCGTATGTTAGGAAAGACTGTTCTTTTCCTCCCAGGTTTTGACCACGCTGGAATCAGTACGCAGAGCGTTGTTGAAAAGATGTTGTGGAACAGAGAGAAAAAGACCAGGCACGATCTTGGGCGTGAGAAGTTTACGTCTTTGGTGTGGGAATGGAAAGAGGAGTACGATTTCCTTGAAACGCCGAAACTCTTTGGGCTTGTGCTAAAAGTAATTTTCGCAGGTACCACGCAAGGATCAAGAATCAGCTAAAGAAAATGGGTGCTTCGTATGACTGGAAAAAAGAGGCTTTCACTATGGACGAGAAGCTCTCCAAGGCTGTCACCGAGACTTTCGTGCGGTTGCATGAGGAGGGAATTATCTACCGTGCAAACCGTCTTGTAAACTGGTGCTGCAAGCTTAATACCACCCTTTCAAACCTGGAAGTGGACAGTATTGAGCTCAAGGGCCGCACTTTCCTTTCCGTGCCTGATTATGATGAGAAGGTCGAGTTTGGAATGATTGTTTCGTTTGCGTACCCAATTGAGGGTTCAGATGAAAAGATTGTAGTGGCAACAACCCGTCCCGAGACCATGCTTGGTGACACTGCCATCGCGGTTCATCCTGACGATGAAAGATACAAGCACCTCGTGGGAAAGATGGCGAAACATCCGTTTGTTGACCGTCTTCTGCCCATCATTGCTGATGATTACGTGGAGAAGGATTTCGGTACTGGTGCTGTTAAAATCACTCCTGCACATGATCCCAACGATTACGCGATTGGGGAGCGACACAAGCTTGATTTCATCAACATCCTAAATGATGACGGTACTCTTAATGAGGATGCTGGAGAAAAATTCAAGGGGATGAAGCGATTTATCGCGAGGAGAGTGGTTGTCGAGGAGCTAGAGAAACTAGGACTCTATGTTGAGACCAAGGATAACGCCATGAGTATCCCACTCTGCAGTAAATCAAAGGATGTTATTGAGCCGAAGATGAAGCCCCAATGGTGGGTGAGACAGAAGGCTTTGGCTCAAGCCGCTATGGACGTTAGTCTCCATCTATCTGGATTGATTATTAATAAGTATACTAAATTTAATAGGCTGTCAGGAACGGAGAGATTAAGATTCGCCCGGCAACATCAGAGAAGGACTTTTTTATCTGGTTGGAGAAAATCCAGGATTGGTGTATCTCCCGCCAGCTTTGGTGGGGTCACCAAGCTCCTGCATGGATTGTCCATTTGGAGGGAGAGGCAACCGCCGATTATGCAGATGGAGATAGCTGGGTCTCGGCCCGTACTGAAGAGGGTGCTTTTGAAAAGGCCAAGGCCAAGTACCCCGGAAAATCTTTCACCCTGGAAAGAGATCCTGATGTTTTAGACACTTGGTTTTCTTCGGGTCTTTGGCCCTTCTCTACCCTAGGATGGCCGGAGCAGGTATTTACTCAATTCAGGAATTAGACTTCCGATGCTAATTTATTTTAGACTCCTGATATGGAGAACTTCTACCCTAACACCGTCCTGGAGACTGGATGGGATATCTTGTTCTTCTGGGTCGCAAGGATGGTCATGCTCGGTATCAAAATGACTGGCAAGATTCCCTTCACGGAAGTCTTCTGTCATTCCTTGGTTCGTGATTCGGATGGTCGTAAAATGTCCAAGTCTTTGGGCAATGTCATCGATCCTCTCGATATTATCACTGGTATCCCACTAGAGAAGTTGCACGAAAAACTATTGCAAGGAAATCTTGACCCTAAAGAGGTTAAGCAGGCCATGAACTACCAAAAGAGTGCTTTCCCTGACGGTATTCCTCAATGTGGTAGCGACGCTATGCATTTCGCCTTCTGCCACTACACAACCGGAGGAAGGGATATCAATATGGATATCAAGGTCGTTGACGGTTACCGGAAGTTCTGTAATAAGATGTACCAAGCGACCAAGTTTGCTTTGATGAGACTGGGCGAGGGTTTCGTTCCTAGGAAGACTGCTGCTCTCACCGGAAAGGAGTCTCTTGTTGAGCTTTGGATCTTGCACAAATTTAACAGGGCTGCTCAGAACACAAACAAGGGTCTCGATGAGCGTAACTTCCTTCTTGCCACCGATGAAGTTTACAGGTACTGGTTGTACGAGCTGTGTGATGTCTACATCGAAAACTCCAAGCCGCTCATTCTCGAGGGCACTGAAGAGCAGAAACGATCTGCTCAGGACACCCTGTACACTGCTCTCGAGGGTGCCTTGCTCTTGATGCATCCTTTCATGCCCTTTGTCACTGAGGAGCTTTGGCAGCGTCTCCCACGCCGCCTCGAAGACACCAACCCGACTATTGTCAAGGCCGCCTATCCTAGATACGTTGAGGAGCTAGATAACCCCAAGGCTGAAGAGGCCTATGATTTGGCGTTCTCTGTCACCAAAACTATCCGTTCAATGCAGGCCGAGTATGGTGTTAAAGACCAGTGCAAGGGTATATTTCGAGAATATCTTAGTGAAAAGCCAATTTGCTGACATAATCTAGTATATGTTCATGGAAAGGACACAGAAACATCACAGATCGTATCTGAACAGAAGGCCGGAATCGCGGCCTTAGTAAAGGGACTCGAAACCATTGAAATCGTTCCCATAGATAGTGGTGTGCCTGAGGGCTGTGCCGCATCTACCGTTTCCGATCGATGCAATGTTTACCTCCTCGTCAAGGTACCTATTTCATTTATACCATTTCATACTTGAAGGCAGAAATAATAACCGAAGAAATAGGGTCGTGTGGATGTGGACGCAGAGATCCAGAGGACTCAAAAGAAGATTGCCAAGACCACCGAGGCCAGGTTGAGACTAGAGAAGAGCAGGGCCGTCCCCGATTACAAAACTAAGGTTAAGGCTGCTGTTCAGGAAGCCGATAAGCAGAAGCTTGTTGAATTTGCTGCCGAAGAGGCGACGCTCCAGGAGCTCATCAGCAAATTCGAGAATTTGAGAGCTTAGATCGCAAGGTGAACGAAATAGAGAAGAGTTGTTAAGAGAGTTATTTTTTTACTAGACTTTTGACATGTATCTATCGAATTGGTTTCATCATGGCGCTGTCAAGGGAGACTACATTTATCTAGAAAGTCTGAACAGAGGAGCCCAAGATATCCATTTGTATCAATCATAAAATCGATCGTTGAGATCATAGATCATCACTCGCACACTTTTAGTAACAAAATTTTAAACCATGCAAGACGAAGCAATGATTGAATAGTAGTAGTTTTTTTATTTTTTTTATTTTTTAAATTTATATCCTCTCCTCCTCCTCCCCTTAAAGGATATCTATAAAAAATGGAACTCGAAAGAGAAATATCTCAAGCCCTCCATGCACGACTCGACGTGAAGTTAGATTGCACCGAGAGGTGTTTGGTAATGGGTATGAATTCAGTATCGGCACGATAAAGATATAATCCTTCAGACACTCGAAGATAGAGAATGCTTCGGAGCTGTACACACATATGCCTTTTTTTTTTTTTTTTTTTTTTTTTTTTTTTTTTTTTGGGGGGGGGGGGGGGGTAAGGAGTTCGCAAGGAGGGGTAACTCGTATCGATGCGTGGGCTAACCAGTATTTTGGGCTTGGATCGATGCGAGCTTCGTTGAAAATTCCGATGTGCGAGTAACCGTCAATATGTTTCGTTTTCTTTTTGCAACCCACGCAATTTCCAGGAGAGAAAAGAGGTTTCTCGAAAACAGAAAAAAACTCCCTAAAATAAAAATACCGGAGCGCCATATTTCCCATTTTATCTTGTATTATGTTTTCCTAACACAAGTAAAACCCAGAGAAGGAAGAAAAAAAGAAAAAAAGAAAAAAATCCCAAATTGTTGAACCCGCTTTCGTTTCCCCGAAAAATGGAACCGCCCCTTTTTTTCATTTTCGCTGCTGGATTTAGGCGGACTCGCGCTTGCCCTCCTTGAACTCCTTCTGTGGGGGTGTGTTAGTATCAAATCCTTGCGATTCGGGTTGTCAGGCAGGAGGTGAGGGGGAGGTGGGGGTGACGAACAAGAGCCTTCATGGTTCCGTGAAGAGCGTGCCTATATATATGTTAGCGGAGCTCAAAAGAAAGCTGGGGATATCAAACATACCTGTGGTTCCTTCGGAACTTGGGGTCAGTACCCTTGAGGGAAGGGTATCTGTAGGTCTTAGGCTTCTTGATACCGTTACGGTGAGCTAATCCCCAACAACCCAGTCAGCCGCAAATTCCATCATGACTCCCTCCTTATCCATCTATCCGCCAGCTTCTCGTTCCCCGCCCCATCACGCCTTCCCCCCCCAAGCTCTTTCTCCTTCTGCGCGCCCGTGACACCTCAAAAAAAAATTGGTGGATTTTTTTTACCCTTGTTGCTCTGGTTGTGTTGAGACGAGTTCTTCGACTTTGCCATTGCTACGTTCTAGTTGCGGTAACGGGTGGAATGGGGTTTATTTGGTGATACTGGGGCTGGATATTTGACGTCGGTTATGGGTGGTGTTGTGGTGGGTTTGCCTATCGTGTCTGCGGGGGTGCCGAAGCGTGGTGCGTGGGCCGGTGGGAAGTCACGTAGCAGGCAGGGCTTTGCCCTAGCTACATATTGCTTGGCATCATAGGATCATGGGGAGTCACTCGTAGCCTCCAGCAAATCAATATTGCGTGCGAAAGCAGTCGGGGAGGGTATCAGTAAACGAGAGAAAAGTGCGAAATGATGTCTTTATTGATGTCTTTGGTGACTGTGATGTGTTCCTCAGTTGTGTTCCTTGTATACATTACTTACGCACACGTCATTTATGACACATCTCTACTGCTATATATATGTGTTCTAGAGAAGCCCTCTTCCCTCTTGAATGTCAACGTCTTGGTTGTGAAGGTTCGGCGCACACGTCAAACAGCATCTGGGGACCCTACGACTACTCCAGGAGGACAGAAGATTATGACTTCACTACAGCCACAAGAAAATAACTTTATTATTAAAGGGATGTATATATAAGCGGGATATTGCTGTTGCCTTTATTGATGCCGCCAATACCTCTTTTATCGGCAAGGCTCTGTTGATATGTTGCCACTTCTGCTCATCGTTCCGACAATCTGAAGGGTGCGGTCCATCCGTCGGGGGAGAAACAGCATCCAAGTGCTGAAAGCTAGGAGAACGCAGGACGTTACCCCATAGACTGGACGACACTGTATCTCTGATATTGTAAATGGCTCTGTTGGCACAAACTGACCGGCCGGCTAGAAGCGGGTGTAGCTCAGGAGAGACAAGATATAGCACCACTGTTATGAGCACCCCGCCCCTCTTTAAGACGAGGATACGTCTTGCACTGGCTCCTAACCCTTTTGTGAGCTAGACTTCCGCCAAGTTGGCCAGACCGGGCCGGGCCGGGCATGGTTCGCCTCAGAGAACACAAGACTTTTGCTGCCATCGCCTTATTCAGGATTCGGGCCATAAGGGAACGTTCCTCAATACATGGCTCGCGTTCCTCTATCGACCAGAACATTCCCCCCACGATGGTAAGCCGTGCATCCTTCACGCGGTGGCTTAATCGGGAAGTGGTTAACTCGGGCCGCGGTCTATCATTACACAAGCACTTGTCTGAAAGCCTTATTTGGCACCACCATCCAACCCTGGACCATCACCCAAAGTTGGGGGGCCGGTTACCTATTGCTCAATCGATCCTTGGCACACACAACTACAATATCAACCACTTACCCATAACAAAGCCTGAAGCTTTAGATATTCCAATAGGAAAATATCCATCTACCATGCGGTGCCCAAGACTACGTCTAGCGGCCTTACATGGAAGGGGTTATAGGACGAGTGATATCTCATGATCATCGTTCCCGATCCTTCCTTAGTCCAAAATGAAGCGAAATACATACTCTGTATGTGTTACTACAACCAAAAACCACCGCCAAAGCTATAACAGATCAGAAAAATCCATCCAATTACGCAAACCCAAAGAAGAAAAATGATATCAAAGCAAAAAAAAAAAAAACACATCGCTTAAAATATCGTGTCGCGTTTTCAAAAAGGGAAAAAAAAAAAAAAAAAAAAAAAGACAAAAGAACAATTCATTTCCCCCCGACCCTTAACCAAACACCACACACCCCCGCACGCCACACACACCATCCAGACATACCCATTACTACATAGCTAACTACTCCACCATTGAACTAGTCACGCTATCAGCCTCCCCCCTACTATATCCCTCCTCTCTCACATACTCCTCGCTGCCAACCTCACTATCATCCACGCCGCTCGCGCTCCTAATGAACGCCGCCAACGCCTCGACCTGCGCCCTGACGCCCGCAATCGTCGCCTCGTCCGCCAGGTCTGGGACAACCTCCTTCACGTCCACGTCCCAGCCGTCGCCCAGGACGTCAATCTCACCCTGCATCTCCTCCCACTCCTCCACGGCCTCGTCGTCCTGTTCGCCGCGTGCGCGGTTGCTGGAAACGTTGCGCGCCTCGCGCGTCTCGATCCAGGCAATAATGAGCAGCAATGGTGAGTAGAGGACCGTCATAACGTAGTCGTTGAGACGCATGTATGTGGATTTGGGGAGCCACCATTCGAAGGGGAGGATGAGACCAAAGATTTCGATCAGGTTGAACGGGGGGAGGAAGACGTTCTCATCAGGGGCGCGCACGAACTGTAGGGTTTTGGCAGCAAACTAGAGAGGGGGTTAGTGGGGTTTTCTGGGGGAAAGAAGGGGGGATAGAAGCCTACAAGAGCGAGGTATTCGTCAACGGCGTTTTCAGTGATATCGGTGTAGGCCGAGTTGTAGAGCGCAATAAGGATGTTGAGCAGGATAACCATGACTACAAAAGTAAATAGGTAGTATAGTATGATTCCATATGGATCTGCAGCTTGAAGTTAGCGCATAGAACTACTGATGGCGCTCAACAGGGACACATACGCGCGAAGTCCCCAAACCCGTCAAACTCAGGACTCTGCAGGATCGCTCTGACCATGGACTCTAGGATGAAGAATGTGGTATCCACTTTATGGTCCTCTGCAGAATCCAGACCAACAAAACCTTGCAAGAAACCAATGATAATAACGATAAGGAGCGCAAAGAAGCTACATTCCATATTAGCACATCACTCACAGCATTCCAGAAGGATTGGACAAACATCAAACTCTCCATCATCATGACCTTTAGCACAACCAGCATGGCTCCGAAGAATTGTATGGTATCCAGGTATAGCAGCATGCGCGCCCAGAACATGGGCGCGACAAATGCTAACCAATAGTACGATACCTCGTCCCAATGCATCCTTTCCGTGCTACCAACTGGCTTACTAAATGCATACATCCGGAAGCTAAATGAGACGGTTAACGCCGCATATAGCGTCAAATTGAACGTGTTCCAAAAGCTCAAGTAGAACCTTCCGACTTTCCAGAACTTTGTAAACTCATCCGCGATAAATGACAGGGTAAAGAGGTAGAGAAGGCCCTCGACGACATCGAGATCCCCGGAGGGATTGATGGTGTTGATGGCAACGGTGTACAGCCCCAGATAGAAGAACGAGATGAGCACCTGGAACGCATTCTGGAACTTTGGTGCGCGGATACGGTCATGGTCAAAGTGCGCCCAGTAGGACTTGTTTGCGACGTTCTTGTACCCGCAAAAGTGGGTCGGGTCATTCAGATCCTGCGCGAGCCAGCCCTTCCAGAGATACCCTATACACTTCTGGTACCCGCTCGAGCCAATGACCCGAGTCGCATGTAAATCGACTGCGCGCTCAATTACATTAGACGGCGTGCTCTCCACGCCATTACGGAGGATGCTGAAGCGCTGCAAGAGCACCTCCGAGAACAGGTAGTCCTGGTCCTCAAAGTCCTCAATGATGCGCTTAGCGATGACTTGGCACGCCTCCGCGCGCAGGATGTTTAGGTCGGCATCAAAGAGCTCGAGCTTTGCCTGGCGCTTGAACCAGCGGAGACAGACCAGGAGGCAGTAGACGACGCATGCGCGGTCCTCGTCGCCGCCGGCTCTGGCGGCGAGGGCGACGACCTCTTTGGTGATTATTTGCGAGTGCGGGCGGGTGATTTGGGATTCCTTGAGCTCGAAGGGAACCGCGGCTTCAATGCTAGCGGGGACGTCAGTGCGCCGAAAGATAAACAATGTGGGGGAGTGGGGGTGGATAGAGCTTACAGGTACTTCAACCTTAGTGCAACCCTCGTGACCCTGAAATTCAATGCTTCTCAATTAACTCGATTCGGCTACGTCGGGGCAAAGGAGAGTGTATTGTAATATACCTCTTGGCCGGAATGGCCGAATGGACATGCTCCGCATTATGGCTGGGCAGCAGATGCTCGCGAATGTCCTGCGCAGTGTCGCGGCTGCTATGGCCGTCATCTGCCCCAAAGAAATGACGTATCGACATTGCTTCACGGTAAGAATCGTGAAGAGTGTTTTTTTAGTTCTGTTCACTCACAAACCCCAACCTAAGCTGGTGAGCGAGCGAGCGAGCGAGTGGGAAAGGAAAGAAGGAGAAGAGTGAGAAGGACGGACGGATGGATGGATGGGGGGGATGGGGGGGGGGAGAGAACAAAAAAGTGGGAAGGGCGTTGGTCAAGTAGGTAGGGCAAGCAAAGCAAAGCAAAGTGGGTAGCTAGAGATTGGACCAAGTTTCATAACACGCGTTAAATCAACCCATGCTCGCGGCGGGGAGGGGGGGGGGGGACACTCGATTATTGTGGAGCCAGCCAGTGAGTGGGTGATGATGGTTTGGCAGTACCTACATTACATACCCAAAAAAAAAAAAAAGCTACAAAAATTACATACATCAGGTAGGTATCCCTCCTTCCTTCGTGGCAAACAAGCCAACCAGCCAGCCAGCCAGCGAGCGGGTAAGAGCAAAGCAGAAAATGAGTGCGTACTCGGGCACTCATTGGTTGGTGACGCAGTGTGAAGTGTGTGATACCTCGCTCCCCCAGCTTCGCAGGCTGCATGACGGCCGTGAAGGGAATGGTGAGAGAGGTGGGATTGGACTGGATTGGGGGGGATCTAGAGGACGAGTGAGAGTGAGGGGAGTGAATCAAGTGTTGGACAGCTAACGATATCTGCTCCTCTTATCGTGGGACCAGAGCACAATCGATACCGCGCAGCACCTGACTGTTTGGGACTGGGCTGTAGTGAGTGAGTGAGTGTATGTGGTAGTGTACCTACTGTACCTACTGTACCTAGAGTATAGACTGAGCTGTGGTTCTGCATGGAGTACTCTAAGTGAGCACGGAGTTGTTAAGGGTACGTGCATCCCTCTCTCTCTCTCCGCCGCCCAATCAGGGCACTCCGTCTCCCCACCCTTCCCCACTGGTCACGTGGCTCAATCAGGAACAGCAGGCAAGTGACGTGCCCGCGCCAAGCAGCCCCGAGCCCAGCCACAGCCAGCCAACGAGACACGCAGCGGACGCTCAAGCTTTTGCGAGAACGAAACACCACACACATCCATCCATACATCCATACATCCATCCATACATTCCGTAGCATCTCCCCATCCCCAGCTAGCCACCCGTAACCAATCCCCGCCCCCAACCGCAATGGCCCCCACCACAATCCTCCCACCGCCCAACCTCCCGCCCATCACCGCAACCCCCCTCACGCCCGCCGCCTTCCACCCCTTCGGCAGCGTGATCCAACGCCCTCCCCCCACCACCTCCACCACCACCACCACCACCACCACCACCAGCACCCCCACAACCGTAAACCAAGGCACAGCCCAAAAGCACCCCAAAGTCTCCGTCATCACCACCACCCAGCCCCCCAGCGGCACCCCCGCGCCCATCAACATCAACATCTTCGTCTGCGCCCCACGCACGCTCTCCGGCCCCGCGCGCAACACATTCGCATGCACCATCCTCGAGCGGCACCCGTACAGCTCGCAGTCCTTCATCCCGCTCGCCCTCCCGCCGTGCGCCGATAACGACACGGCGTCGCGGTACCTGGTTATTGTTGCGCCGACGCTGCGCGATGTCGAGGGGGCGCCGCCGGATCTGGAGGGGTTGAGGGCGTTTGTGTGTTCGGGGGTGCAGGGAGTGACGTATGCGGCGGGGACGTGGCATGCGCCGATGGTGGCGCTGGGGGAGGTGGAGGTGCAGTTTGCGGTGGTGGTGGCGGAGAATGGCGTTGAGGGGGAGGATACGCAGGAGGTGGGGATTGCGGGTGGCGGGGTGGGGGTTGTGGTGGTGGGCGTGGGGGAGGGGGTGGGGGGGTTGTGGGGGAGGACGAAGGCGAGGTTTTAGGTTGTGTGGCGGGTGTGTGTAGAGTGGGTAGTGGGTTTGGGTAGTTTTGGGGGTAGGTTATGTAGATAATGTGTGTGTTGGTTATGAGTAGTTAGTACCTAGTTGGAAATCTTTTTATTGAGTTTTTTTATATGACGAGAATAGATAGCTAGAAATATAATCAGGTTATCTATCGCCATGAAGGACCCTCCACATAACTTCATACATATAACCCCCCCCGCATATATACCGGTCAATTGGTAAAAGCAATTGCACCGCACGCGGTTCGCATCGGTCACCGAGTGATAATCTGTGATTAAAATGATTAGGTGGTTATATTTTGCACAATTGGGCCAATTTTTTTTTACCACCCCCCCCCATATGTGGTTGATTGTTTGGCTGTATTAGCGGAGATTATTGATTGGTAGTGATATTGCATGATTGCGATTTGCCGTTATTAATGTAAGCCGTTTGCTGTGTTTTCGGTGCGTTTTTTAATTCGTTAATATTGGTGCGTTTAGCTGTTTGAGGTATGTTCGGTTTCTCGTAGTCTCGTACCCAGCCCGTTACTTGCAGCAAGCCTCTGGAAGCATGGAAGTAGACGGGTTGGGGGCGAGCCTAGGTTTCTCTATATTTAGGCTAGTGGGTACATGTACTTATGACGGTTCCGTACTACTACTACTACGAAATATGCACGGGGAGAAGATTCACAGGGACTGTCAACCTACAGCGACCGGAATGATCTATGGAAAAACATGGGGGGTGAAATTGTATGGCGAAATATCTGTGCACCATATAACTGTTTTTTTTTTTTTTTTTTTCCATAGATCATTCCTATCGCTGTACACGTACTAGCTACTGCCAGTAGTGCGGCCGGTCTCGATGATTTGCGGATTTTCCTACTAATGAGCGGCCCAATTGATGCATGCAGACAGAGGGTTCTCTGGCCAATTAGGGTAACCCTCGATCGACTCCTAACGTTAAACATGTGGATGGCATGACGACGCTTCAAGACTAGCACCACTAGCTAGTGTCAAACTTTAAATTGAGTTTGACGCTAAGGAACATACTACGTGCATGTAACTGCCCTGAGTCGGAGTCCCACGAGGCTGCTCGCGGGAGGCAAGCAGAGACAAGTGCCTCTGCCTCTTATGGCCCATCCCTTTGTTTACTCGCGCAAAGAGAGGTGCTCGAGCTGCTCGAGGCAGATAATGTCTGTAATATGTATGTCCTACTATCGAAAAGTGCAATGCTGGTATGCAATTCTAGTTAGCGGAGCAAATATATACTGATTTGGTATAATCTTGACGAGACCGCACTGTGTGAGTAGCTATGTAATCATGGTGTATGCAATGTAGGGATTAATACTTTTAACGTTCCTAATATCGGGATGTATATCAGCGGTGTTATGATTACCTAAACCTCGAATCGTGCCTTGAGATCTCCTGACCCAAGCCAGCAGCTAGCTAAGATCGTGCCCGGTCGAACTATAGTTAGACGCTATGAATCCACCTATATGACGATCATTAATGCTACTATTCCAGAAGCAAGCTTATCCAATTATCCGGAAAAAAACATGCTTTTCGTTATGACAGTCTGTTTTAATGGCGTGACGAACATTCGTAGAAGCCTCTGTACTCGTTAATATTTTGGCGTTTCCGGGCTGAAATAACGAGTAAATGTCCCCCCTTCCCCTACCCTAGGCCTATATGTTAGGATAATATAAGTATCTAGCGTAATCAATTAGTACACGTATGTATGATGATACCCTCAGCTCTCACCGTGCAGTTCTTCTGCCAAGAGTCCAACGATTTTTTCCACGAGCTAAAAAAAAACCTCAACTATATGTACCTATGACGTTATCACTTGCAGTAATACATATTAGTAGTAGCAATAGTAATAGTAATAGTAGCAATAGTAGTAGTAGACCACTAGCTACCACCAATAATACTACCACCACACTAGTACCAAGTGGTACCAACAACCAAAGTACCGGCGCGGCCAACCATAACACAACAGCTAACAACTAATAATAATAAAAAGCAGAACCAATCGACCAAAACCTCAAACGCCATTTTCCCACAAACACCAATCCCTCGAATTTTCGCCCCCTCCATAAAATCAATAACCACAATACAGCCCCCCAATCCAATGTTTGAGCCTGTCTCGATTCGCATTGGCCAGACCCTTTTTTCCCCCCCTCCATAGTAGACTGTGCTTAGATAAAAATCATTGGCACTCTGCCCCCCCCCCCCCCCCCGGGGGCTATGTAGATGTAGGTAAGTAAGGAGCAGGTGAAGTTGTAGGTAGGTAGGTTGTCCAAAGAGTAATAATCAAACAAGCTTAAACAAAGTAAGTATATGCAGCAGCGCAATTACAAAAATACCCGGTATCCCATCGTATAACACCCAAACAACAAAAAGCTCTACCACCGCTCTATCCTCCAAAAACAAAAAAGTCCAATCCTCTAAGAATGCTTTAATCTCATCGCTCACTCAAAAAACAAATTTATCACCATCAATGATATTGTGGCGAGAGGAGGGAGATGAAAGAAAGGAAGCTCCGAAGAAAAAATATAGCCCCCCTTCTCCGTCCAGCCGCAAAGGAAAGATGTAAAAATAGTTCATAGACATCATTAGAAGAAAGGAATTGGTCCACCCCCACCCCCACTCCGGAAAAAAAAAGGCACTGTTCATTCGCCAATAAGGAAATCCAAAGTAAAAGAAGAAAAAAGCAATAAAAACCCCCAGTAATAAAATAAACAAAAAACATAAAAAAAACAAAAACAAAAACAAAAAACCATAAACCCCCGCCAGTTTTAAACCTACAAATGCACGCGAGCACCTGACATTTTTGAGCTTCTCCGCAATGTAATGTCCTTGCCCGCTTCACTTTCTTTTCAGGTCATCCAAGTAGATGTCCCCACCTTCCGCATTTACCCATCTCTTCCATGCTTCTTCGTATGCATCTTCTAAATCGCTAACCCAACGCTTTGTATCAAACAGTGCGCTTTTCCACCTGTGCTCGAACAGGACCTTTCTGACATCGTTCAATTCTCCATTTCCCCTCCCTTCCTCTCCATAAACCAGTCCATTTGCTAGTTCAACAGCACGATTTTCGTATTCGTTTTCGCTAGCGACTATCAAACTATTTGCAGTTGCTTTCCCTTCTGCTGTTTGCGGAACTGCAGCTCGAAGAATACTTGCTGCTATTCGGGAACACATCTTGTATTGATGACGAGGGAATGTTAAAAGTGGCGTTCCAGACCAAAGTACATCCGCCGCAGTGGTGTGGGCGTTGCATTCGGGTGTGTCGAGAAACACGTCGCAAACCTGGGCCCTTGATATATGTTGAAGCTTTGGTGCAACATCGGTAAAGATGATACGTGAAGTGACTTCTTCGCCAGCCCATTCCTGGGCTAAGTCTTTAAGATTTGTTTCTCCAAGGTCAGGGAAACGTAGAAGCCATAGGACCGCCTTCGGAACACGGGCAAGGATGCGAAGCCAGGTCCTAAACGTTGTGGGCTCGATCTAAAAAAAAATGTTAGACGAATTTCACATAAAATAGATGTTAAGACCCACCTTATACAGCTGGTTGAAATTCCCAAGAATCACAGCATCAGACCGTAATTTTGGGAACAACTCCTTCCTCTTTGCCCACCTTCTTGCTTGCTCTTCTTCCCAGCTCAATTGCCTTGATTTAGAGTCCGGGGCGCTTTGTCTATGGTCGCAACAGAAGAAGGTATACTTCGCAAAGACTATGTTCTCTGAATACACCCAATCATCATTGTCTTCGCTCGCGCCCTCGTGTCCATCGTCCTCAAGCTCAACGTTGCGCCTTGATGGCCTCAGAGTTCTGGCTGGGACAGCTGTAGAGTCGGCATAGATATAATCACACCAATCAGCACCAAGCGTACCGGCGAATCCCATGAAGCTCATTTGAATCGGTGCTGGTCTCGCTGCGAAAACCTCGTTTCGGGCACCCCGAGTGAAGCCATTAAGATTAATCAGTATATGAATACCATCTTCTACTATCTGTCGAACCAAACGGTCAGGTCCCCAGGTATGGGCATCATAAAATACTGGCGCCTCCCTCTCAATCTGTTTCCGATGGTCCGAGTTATCACTAGCGGTAGTAGCATAACAATAGGCTTTGGCTCGAGACGGATTATGTAATCCAAATACAGACTGCATCAGATGCGCCAAAGGATGGTTATTGAAGTCGGAAGATACATAGCCAATTTTAAGATGCGGTGCAGGCGGCGCTGGCGGAGGATAAACATGCACGGGAAGCCATGGTGCCCGAAGTGTTGAACATGATATTCGTAGTCCATTCCGTTGAGATATTTGACGAACTTGCTTTGCAGATAAAGGGCAAGTGAAAGTATGGAAAGGTAAAACTGTTGGGGCGCTTGGCGTGGTCAAGTTTGCTGGAACAGTGGGCCTAAGATACTCTCTTTTAGACTTATCAAGCCCTTGCACATACTTCTCTTGATACCATCTCCACACTGTTTTTCGAGACGCCCGTTCGATCATCCTAATGACCTTAGCCCCCTCATAAGGTTTTCCGGCCCAACCTTCAACATTTTTCCTCAAAACAGTTCTTCTTTCTTCTGACCAATTCGATCCATATGCCCTCTCAAGCTCCCTGAGCAAGAGTTCTCCCGCATCTCCAGAAACAATTCCTTTCCCCCAACTTTCACCCTCTTTGAGTTGTTTCTCCACAATCTGTACCACTCTCTTCATCCAGCCACTGCATACAGTGCCATTGCCCTTGGAGTCAATAAGTCGTTTGTTGTCATCCACATGCCATCTATCTCTGTCATCCCTGACTATACCACCTCTCCCTTTCCAGTCGCACACACTGTTTAGAGCGTTCGCCAAGCCGCATACAGCCTCCGCAAAGTCTGGATTAACATCAACGGCCCTACGGTAGTACACGATAGCCTCTCCGATCCTTCCTTGATCCTTGACTGCATTTGCTAGATTTGCAAGAGCAATGTCGAATTTAGGATCGCAAGTGACTGCCTGTTCGTACATTTTAATTGCTGCGCTTAATTGATTGATATCCTTAAGCAAACTACCCAGATTTGTGTAGAGATGTGCATGCCGTGAGTCTAAGTTGAGGCCGTAGTAATAGTAGTCCAACGCAAGTCTAACTCCCGCTCCGATCCCGGGAACCTGCGGGTGTTGTGATGGAGCCACAATGAGCGGTGAGGCTGGCTGGACGCTGGCAAGGAGAATTCCAACATTATTCGCTGTCGATGGGCTTGGATGAAGCGAAAGGGAAAGATAGTATAGTGCCAGAATGTCCTTTACTTCTGCAGTAGATCTAGGCGCACCCAAGGTGCTACCGGATGACATGCCATCTTGAAATATTTTTGCAAGTGACAATAGTGAATTACTGGTTGTTGAGATTGCCGCTCGCTTGGCCGCCGGGTTTGAGATATCACGGAGTCCCGGAAGCTCGCCACTTGGCTGGAAAACAAGATGTGCGGTGCGAATGGCGGCTTGGGGATTCAAGAGGACTGGCCCATGGACAGCGTTCATGACTAAATTATCGGGTATGACGACGCCATCGATGGAAGCCTTGAGAACGGCAAGAATGCGGTTTATCAACCCTCTAACACCACCTCTCTGCATACCTGCACCGAGTAATATGGCCTGCTCAAACGCTCTCGCAGCTCCAGCGTTATCGCCCAGTTGATATAACGTATTTCCCTTAGCATGTATCAGACCAAGCATGCGGCCATTTTCTGACGCCGGTATCATATATTCGCTGAGCCCATAATTCATAATATTGTGGGTCCTGGTAAAGCGGCTGACATCGTCCTCATCATAATCAAAATGAATATCAGATGCTGTTTGAACCGATTCATCGCTTGATGAACTGCTGAAACTTGGGTTTCGGGCGCCAAATCGACCTGGTCGACGTAGTGACACTTCCACGAAATTAATTATGTCAACAGCTTCTTTGCCACGATGGGCGCCACAAAGCAGCCCGACAAGATGTTCAACAGCTTCGAAATAACTAGGTCTTTTTCTGACTGCTCGATGCCAGTATCTTTCTGCTTCTTCACGACGACCCAGCGAAAGGAGTGTTGCGGCTAGGTTTGACAATGCCTCAACGTGACTTTTTCCAAAAAAGAAATGTCAGTTTCACCAACAAAATATAAACGATAAAAGAGGTAAGATTTACTTTTCATCCGCTTCCAGTATTCTAAAGTACCACCCCATAGCTCTAGGTAAATCACCCAATCCCTATGACAACAATCAGCATCTACGAAGTTTATCCAAATCCCAATAAGATGGGTACAAACATATGCCAAGCACCCTCCTAAAAGCATTCCATCCAGCCATGTCCAGCCGCTCTCTGCACAATATGCATTCAACATCTCTAATGCTGTCCCAGCTAATCCTACGGCTGAAACTGGTGATGGATTCGGCATGACGCCAAGACCATTATGAGGGGATAAATTTAGCGGCCAAGGCCCACCAGATCCCCCAATCCCACTTGAAGCGCGATGTAGAGGACTAGCAGAATAGCAATCTACCGGTTGTTTTTTTGCCAAATATTGATCCCCATTCCAGCTCTCAACACTCCCGTTATCAACCAGATCGTCACTTCCATCGTGTATTGTGACACCGTCGTTGCGGAGATATCCATCATTATTGCCAAATAATAACTGTGAGTGTGATGAAGAAGTCCCAATCCGAGGATGATTTTGTTCTTGTGCTGGGCTAGGCCGCATCCGTTTTGACCTATCCCCGTCTTCCCTATTCAGGGCAAATCCATCATGCATTCCATGTTGAACTGAAGGAAAGGATGCTTGCCCACCCAGGGAAGATTGGGGATGTATTCCACTGGGTCTCCAGGTGTTTGTTTGAGGTTGGAGAGATTGGTGACGATACATGCTCGGCTTCGATGATCCATTATTAACACGTGATCTGTCCACGGGTTGTGCACGGGCCTCCGTTGGTCGGTGTTGCTCTTGCACCGACGCTAAGAGTTTGACATACACACCATGGGCCCATGCCAACACTTTATCGCGATTTACTCGGTTCGGGATCATCATGCCGTGTGATTGCGTGTCAAGCTGAAGGTGTTGAAGCTGGGCCTCGGGGGTACCTGCTGGCGGGATTGACAGGCCATATTGGGCCGTTAGGTGTTGCGGAAATGGTACCGATACAGAGTCCACTGCGGGAATTTGGTGTTGCCAAATGTTTGCATTGTCAATTTGTTGGGGCGGATTATATATGGAATTTATCTGGTAGATTGGTGCTTGTGGAAGTTGGTTTTGAGCGGGATTACCGTTTCCCCAAGCGCCATAATGGCCATAAAAATTACTATCCCGAGGAACATCATTGTAGTGACCAATATCCATAAAACCATTAATGTCCTCACATGAAGCTGTTGGGGGGGTAATAGGGTTATAGTACGCCTGGAAACCATATGGTTTTCCACCAGCATAAATGTTGTCCGCTGCTATAGGATGCATTTGTTCTTGTCGTACGAGAAATTCACGCACGTATGGATCCAAGTTGTCATTTACTGGCATCTGAATCTGATTGTTGCAGTTGGTAGACCACATTATCGTCGGATCCATACAGCCGCTTCCCAAATTTATATCGGCCCCTCTGAGCGCCAGCGTCCCCTCCCATGACTGATTTCCCTGGGTCCCAACGCCTTGCCATCGAGGACTTTGATCAAGTTGAAGATATTGCTGTTGTTGTTGAACATTAGATTGTGGTATTGGAAGTAGAATTTGTTTTGTCGGTCTGACTGTTGACCACTCTATTGGGGTAGCATCGTAGGCAGCGGCCAATGTTCCTTGAGGCGTCTTGCGGCGAAGCAGGTTCTCTTGGTAGGTATGCTGGGACGGAACAGGTATTAACGAGGGTGATGAGTGTCCACGATATAATGATAATGGACGACTTGACATGGCTCCTTGCGCGAAACCGGACTGTTGCGTTTGTGGTTGTGGTAGTTTGTTGTAATGTTGAAACGAGCTGTAGGGCGTCGTTGAGGAACTATGGAGAGAAGGGTGCGAGAGCTGAGCATGGGCAGCGCTGGCTGCTGCTGATGCAGGGGTGTTTGTGGCAGAAGCAGAACTTGCAGCCACAGCAGCAGTTGAATGAGGCCCCGACTGGTCAAACTGCCGTTGCAAGGAATGGTGAAAGAGCATCTCGAGAGATTAGATACTCACTAGGTACTCGATGCTACTACAGAATACTGATAGTACTACTGCTACCACTACGTGGGAGGCTCTAAGGCTGAAGGAAGCTGATCGTTGATGTAAAGTTTGCAACTGTCAGTAGCCGCGGGAGGGCGGCGACGGGAGACAGCGACGGCGGTTTCGTCTTCGTCGGGGACTCCTGTTCGGACGATTGCTGCATTAATTAGCTTGTTCCGTCTGGCGGTTTGTCCTCTGTGATCTTGTGGTCCTTCTCCTGCCTGATCGTTGTGCACCTTTTTCTTAATGATCTTCCAATGCTGCTTCTTTCCTCTTTCCTCGCTCTTCCTCTATTACACTCTCCGCCAACCACCTTCTCCTTCTTCTTTTTCCGCTCTATCGTCTTCGTTCCCCCCACGACCCGTACACTTCTTTTTTATTATTAAGATTTATTTATCCTTTAATTTGATTTCCCCTCTCTTCCGTTTCTTTTTTTTTTTTTTTTCAGAGTGTCGACGAGCGAGTGATAGGTGTGGAGAGATTGGTGAGGATATGTGTAGGCAGACTGCAAGACGGCAGGATAGGCATGTGAGTGAGCGACCACCACCACCTTTTCTCTCTATTTCTCCCTCCTCCACAAATTCCTGTCAGGATCCGCTTACCTTGACACCCCCAAACTCAGATACGCACCCGGTCAACCGCGACAATTTGATAGGTATTGTTTGTTACCCGCACCACTCTCTTGCCTGGTTATCTGTCCTCGACTACTCGTTCAGCAGAATTTATCCTCCTTCGATTCCAGCCTGTAAACGAGGGGAAATAACAACACAGTGTCTGTCTCCTCCCAAAGCAGCAAAGATCAGGGAAAAGCAAAAAAAAAAGGTGGGATGAGAGAGTGAGAGAAAAAGCAAAGAGGACCCGACGTTCAGTTGAAAGTGCGATGTAAATAAATGAGTCGATTTTTGTCTAAAGGGATTGACGTACTCTACATACCTTATGTGGTGATGATTGATGCTCCTCGTCTCTAGCGCCATGGGGCCAAGGACTTGGGGTACTCTATAGTAAAGTACCTACCGCTCTTCTTTACACTAAACAAGCCACTCGACAGCAACAAACTCACTCAACCTCACTTACATACGTTCACACGCCTTAATGGTACAGGCAGAAAGAGTACATACAGGATGTAATATCTTACAGTGCCTACTCTACCGTACATGAATTGTTCTTGAGGCGTACGCACGTTCCTCTATGACACCAGCCCAAATGAGAATGTGCCGATCTTGAAAGGGCAACAGGGATTCGTTCACGTTAGAAGTTAAAGGTCCGATTCTGGACGGTCACATAAGAGTATTTTGACCTTGTTAGATCTGTAGATACATATCTACATGTAGGTACACAAGAAAGGGACAACAGCAGCGAGATCGAGAAGGACTCAAAACACATAAAGGATTGATGCTGATGCTGATCACACATCCCACGAACGCAGCTAAGAACGGATGCGCAAGGGCAACCTGGGCATGGACAAGCTCATTGGCACTGTGGGCAGTGTCCTTAATTTTTTTTTTTTTTTTTTTTTTTTTTTTTTTTTTCGTGGCGTATCTTAGACGGCGGGACGAAGGCTTGGTTGGCGCCCAACGGAAGCGTTGAAATGACGCTTTTTGCAACAAACGGCGTCCCCTACTTACGATACGGCAAAGAAAAAAATCTCAATGTCCAAAGAGTCGGTGAATGCAAATGCCATAAAAAACGAACTCTTTGGGCTGAGTTATAGTTAATTATCAAAAATCCAATCATGTCGGCCCGCAAGCTAGGTGTTCCGACATTCTTTTCCTTCCTCCCTCACTTCATGCAGCCATCCCCTCCAAATCTTTATCTTGCGTTGATCTTAACTTATGTATGCACGCTGCCAGCTTACCTACGGCAAGAGCCATCATACTACATATTGCACACAATGTCCCGAATGTTTTCAATCGAACCCCCGATGCCTGCCTCCGCCTAGGTAATGTCTGTGTTCTTTAAAATAACCCGGATCGTACCCACGGCTGTACATACACATTTCCCATGTCCCTCCCAAAGAACTGCAATGTGGTATCTAGAGTAGCAGTACTGAGTAGGTAAAAGCTCTTAGCCTATCGCCAAATAGTTGATCCAGAGCACCCAGAAACTGCCAGCCGGACCCTTCCCTTCCTTTTTTCTCGAAGCCTTCCCCTCATGCAGGGAAATGTGAAATGTGGCGGAGGAGACCGTTGAACGGAAAAAAATATGCGCCGATCGGTAAGTTGAGATGCAGTCACCCGTTTCTGTTAGGTACATACATGTACTCTAGACCACAGTGCCGGTAGCGGCCGTATGCTGTGGGCACAGGTCTTATCACAGAAAACATCCACCACGAGAAAGAGAAATATGCCGCCTAAACAAATAATTGATTGTTATTTAGTGCTACATGAGAAAGTCAGGCACGCGCGTCTCAATCTCCACCATAACCAGGAATAGATACAACACTTGAGGTAGATACTCAACACCCTGGACTTGCGCCGTAACTATCAATATGATGTAGGTAGAGCAGAAAGTGAATACGAACGTATCAAGGTACCTACAACGCTGATTGGCTGGCCGGTCGGTGCAGGTGATCGGATTTGACTGTTGATCCCATACGCAGTAAACATACCAAGCCGGTTAGCTGCACACTTCCCAAGTTGGATCGACAACGGTTTTTGACTGTGACCGGTAAACCCGGGGACGAAGAAACGGAAAACGAACAACCACAACCTGGACGTGTGACATGAACAGCAAGTAGTTTATGGAACAAACCACGGCAATGGGGGCGGCGTCCGGGTGTTTGCAGCTCTTTCCACACACAGCTGAAAGGTCTCTTGGATATGAATGCTTCATTCAGCCTTCTTTCCCAGGTCAGGGTGGAAGGGAAAGAAACCGTTCAAAGAGGTAGCTGAGTATGTACAGTCGATCACTGTCACTGTCACCCTCTGTCGACAAACAAGGAGTTTTGGGCCAATAGAAATGAAGGCTATTCATCGAGTGACGGTTTACGACTGTACCTACATACTCTACGCACATAAATTTCGGCCTCAGGCAACGGTCCATGTAAGGCGGTGTTATGATGCCAGTCATGACGTTGGACTGCCCGGATGTATGTATGTAGTTGGCGGTTATCCATCTGTATTAATATACCTATCCATAGCTGGCCTCTGAGGTGCATACTCGTAGATTCGGCGCCATCTTCTTGGACATTCCATCCCGGCTGAGAAGGACCATCTCGGTGTGTTTCCGGCTGCTTCCTAGGGTGGTCAGCTGTCTATCTGTTTGTCAATAACATGTCATTTGAGAAGTTATGTACATAACTACTTACGTACTCTGTAATTCCTGTGGTCTCTGTAGGCAGGTGCGAAATGAGCTCCTATAACATCAAATTTTGCAAGCTTGACGTCCGGCTAACTAAATTCCAGTTATGTCTGTCATTAGCTACTGCTCATGAAGGGGTTACCTATTTGCTCTACTGGCTCAAGAATATGTTCATCCTACCTATTTAAGGTGTTATATTTGCCGAAAACAGGTCAAGCCACCGATTCACCGTTTCTTCTTTAATTGGGCCAAGCAAACCGTACTAATCTAGAACAATTTAGCGAGAAACTAGTGTAACTCCATCTCCACTAACTCGGCTTGGCATATAATGGGGGATCTTGGTAACATCAAAACGACTCCTCCATACAGATCTTGAGAGAGTGAATTCCTCGACCACGTGCTTGTCGTAGTCTACTCTAGGTTATAGATTAGTACTCATTTACCCCAAATACTTCCTCTCTTGGACACTCACATTTTCCATGAAATTACGTTAATCGAACTCGGCGATCGTGCGCATGCTCTATGTCTGCCATCTACATGTATATTGGCAGGGTAACCAGCACGAGCATATATTATTTAGTAGGTAGAGTCTGTAAGCGTACATGTATATATGCGTGTAGTGCAGGTACAAGCTCTCCAAGTCTTCCCATAGCAGGTCGCCCACGGATCCATGCTCCGACCCTCCCCTGTTTCGGTTGGTAACGACGAGGCTTGCATGAGTTTAAGTAACGGGCGGTACTCTCCGTGAAATTAAATATCCGAGCGAGATCGAGAAACTTCATCGTTTGTGCGGTGCGTACCGGGGGTTAACATTAAATACCGAGAATCTGATAAGATAAACACACCTATTTCACAGCAAGATTCTCTTATCAGATTCTTCGTATTTACCGTCAACGCCCGGTACATACATGGACGTCTTCATCACTCACCCGGACAGCCCCTCACCGGATAGTTGGCACAACATTGCAAGACCCACGTTGTGACCGGCTTATACCTATTCCCAACAATCACCATCAACTGTCTGAGTGGGGCGCTTGAGTGGTGAAGATACATGTATCTACCTGATTATGATTTATATAAGTACTTCATTACGATAGCGAAAAGGTACCAACCTTTTAAATTAACGTTGTCCTAATTATAACTGTTTATCTAGCAAAAGATCAGATATTTCTTATACTAAGCCAAATCCATGTAGGGAGTTACATAATTACCCTCAGCGGCTGTCATTCGATACGTCACCAATTACTTTCCTATCAAATCGATTCCACAAAAATAGCTCCGAGCACGTTAATGCAAATCCATGTATGTGCTTGTTCCTCGATAAACACGACTCCAAGACTTCCCTCTGAATCGCCCCGCCGTTATGAATGAGACCTTCCTTTCCAAGGTGCATATTAAAGAATTAGATATCGAAAGAGCCCCTTTTCTAATATGTAGAGTATGTACTCGAGCTCTTCGGTAATTATCAAATAAGCTAAAGTAGATGAACCTTTAAGGTAGTCTAACTCCTTACTTAGATCATTGACTTATATCAGAAGCGATAGCTCGGAGATACTCTACTTTAAAGGAGATTGGGCGGGGCGGGATCGCGGGGTACTTACAATTGTAGATATAAAAAAATAAAATAAAGATAAAAACGGAAGAAAGCTTTTTTTTTTTTTTTTTTTTTTGTTTAATTCATTAATTGCATGGAGGAAAGCTTTTCAATAAACATCGCATGCATGCTTATATCCAGATACTATACGTATACATATCAAGCACTAGCTATTGTAGAGATAAAGCGTGAGCCAGCAAATATCCTCTATAAAGTTAGGGTTAAAAAAAAAAAATCCGAGACCTAAGGTCAAGGGAAACGAGTGATCGTGTGTGCATGGATAACCTACAGGCCACACGCAACGAACTCCAACTTTCATTTCTCCTTCTAGGATCTGTCCTATGTGGCCTGATTCATTCACAATGAGTTAGCCCGCGGTTCTATCTATTTGGAACTCATATATCGAATTTTGGTTTAATTCCACTACGTACTTACTGTATCAACCATCTTCAGCGTAGTCGATCGAACGTTGTGATAGTACTAGTGGTGTGATATTCCTAGGCTACGAAGTCAGGTTGTCAGGTGTCCCTTCTCGGGAAGGGTTATATACATATACGTATACATCATGGGATGGCCTGACGTACACACTTACTGGTAGAACTCTCCCCACTCTAATCTACTTGCTACTGAGAATCATCGTGCTATATGTTAGCCGTTGGGTGAAGTCTTTAATCATACGAACAAACAGGCGAGCACCGCCCCCGAAAGCTATATATCAGTACCATAAATCTGTCGGTATTAATAGAGGTTGCTTTATTTCATCCACATCTCACATGCAAGCCCATGGAACGATATTCTCCATACATGCGTCGATCAGTCTACAGCTGGCTTCTGGAAAAGTGTCAGCATTTGGGAGGTTTACTCGGTTAAGCACGACGATCTAAATGAGATGTTGCACCGGTCAATCATCGATGAGGTTCGACCTTCCTTGCATGTCATAAAGATGGGTTTAAGTTCATCTGATCTCCAGTCCCTAATAATTATTTGGATGATGTTTCAAGACTCAAAGAAAGACGTACTGAGACCCCAAGGCAGAATAACCTCTATAGCTAAAAGCCAAAATAAAGAGAACTCAAACGATATCTCTGCGTATTCTGGTGCTAGTGCTGAATAACCAGCAAACCATGAGTATTACCACTGCACTGCATATTCCACTTACATCTTGATCCATCAGTTATCTGTTAAGAAAGGTCAACAAAACAATTCAGATTCCTCAAACCTCAGCTAAACATATTCAAGCCTAGGTGGCCCACATATAATCAAGCATTAATAACTTGTTGACCGGCCTCTAAATAGGTGCGAACCACCGAGCTCGACCGCCTTCGTACCACCGAGAGTTTCAGGTATTCTCGATACTAGCTACGCTTAATATAAAAACGTTAATTCGATATCACGGACCTAATCACCTATAAAAGGTGTGTCTAATTAACATGGTATGCGAGAGCTGTTTTAGTTGAACAGAACGAGTCATAGTTCATGATTCAGTTAATTTTCCGTTTTCCTCACCTCTCTTTTTTTTCTTCATGAGAACGTGAAATCAAATAATGGAGAGAGCTTTAAAAAATGTCATTGATATATTTTAAACTTTCACGGAAAGCCGGCACCGTATCCTCTACAATATATATCCGGATCTCAGCGGGAAAGTACCTACAGTACATATACATGTCAATTGATAACAGTATAAACCCGAAAGCATAATAATTGGGTATTTCCTACATATCATGACTCTTAATGGCTCTTTAACGATAGGTATGTATGACCCGCAAAAGATTTGTTGGGAACCTTAGTTATAGACAAATGCTCTGAAACGCAAACAGAACCCATACAGTTCTATATATGCTCAAGCTCCGGGTATTTGTTGTGTCTACTGATATGAGGCCATAATGACATACTACGGGTCAGTCGGAGCCTAAGACTAGGACTATTCGCTGGTGGACTTTTTAGAGCGAATCAGAATGATAAACAAAAGTATTACAACCTTATCAGGGCCCAAATCTCTTCAAGTTGGATATAGGATGGTGGATACGTAGAGAATAAGCGATTAACGTGCCAAAGCATTCTCAACAAATAGTAAGTCCCACCCAAGCCACGTAAAATCAATAATGAGTACAAGAAACAGGTTTACGGGGTGAGGTGCGTCGAAAACGAAACTGGGTAGATAAGTAGTACCGCAGACACGAAAGTTTGTTTGTTGAAGCTAGCCAGCCAGTTGCTTGGATATCAGAATATATGGTTACTTTCTTTAAATCTCATGATTAACGTGAGCCCCGATGCACTGTACTATGGGATTAATGCAATCTCCGAGGATACAGAAATTTCCGCGTTTCGGAGGCGATTAACAGTGACATTCAACTTCTTCTCTCAGGCTCCATGTTAGTCGCCATAATAGGTCTGGGGGGATTTTACAATATAATCTTTTAACAGTACGACCATTCAGATTGTTTCGATTTCTATATAAATGGTTAACAAACGGATACCGGCTTTGACCCAAGCAATTCTGCCACCCATTCCATAAAGTCACAAAAGTGTATTCCAACCAATTGGGTACTGATTGCAATCCCGTGGGATCACAGCAGCGTTGCTGTTGATGGAAGGATGGGGACATATGGCCACGTTTGGTAGGAGTCCGAATAGTTATATACATTACCCAACTATAATTAATTACTACCTATATTACACTTGATAAAAATTACAAAAAATAAAAAAACAAAAAAAACGCCGAAAGCCTAGATTCGACTATTTGAGTGAACTCTCCGGAGCAACAATCAATTAGTCCGAGGGAATTTTATTATTGTATTCGTACTTATTTTCGCTAACTAGTTATTACGGTATAGCTTTGAGGGGAGAGGGGGGTGGAGTTCGGTGATGTCTCGAATACGGAAGTCACGACCTCTTCGTATCAAGTGGCTATCCGTTACGGATCGTCATTTCTTTTAAACCACAAAAAAATCAAATAAAGGTCCGGAGCTAAAATCGAAAGTTCATCTCACTATTGGCAAAAGATATGTGATCTTCACCCAAAAAATAACTTGAGCCGTTACATCAAGAGGTAAAAAAATATAACTGGCGTCAGCGTCGGCGCGCCAATACATAACTTGTAGTTGCGCGTTGCGTTTGTGGTCCGACAGAAGCTGATCAAGAAGGATAAGAAGGAAGTCTTGGTTGAGACACTGCGTCGCCAATCCAATTCTCGGGGGGAAAGGAGGGTGGGCGTCCAATGACCAGTATGACCGTCTCTTCGGAGGTAACAACTCGGACACACCCGGATCCGTGATGGCCATCGCCGGTGATGATCGGAGGAGAAATTCAACTTCGGGGCCGGCGGAGGAGAAGGCCCACGTCAGCCTTTTTTTTCTCTTTCTTCTTTCTTTCTTTTTTGGCTTTGGGCGAGAACGTTACGAGAAAGCGCCCCGGCACCCTCGCGCCGGATAAGAGTATATCCCAAAAGCAAGCAACTTTTGTTTTTTCCTTCTCTCGGGGTAGGGGTATGTAGGAGTACTGTGGTACATACCTACTCCATTGTACTCAGGAACCAAGTTGGTGGTTTGCGGTTCGAGGCACGTTCCAGCCCCTCGGTGAGTGGGAGTGACAAAATCATATGACAAGCAAGACAGGATCCAGACAGGAACCTGTGTCATGCTCAGCGCTCATTCACACTCACTCACTCACTCACTCACTCACTCACTCACTCACTCACTCACTCACTCACTCACTCACTCACTCGCTCACTCGCTCACTCGTCAACAATATGACACGGCAGTTGAGCCAATTCTCCCGCTGTGTCTTTCTGTGTCTCTTTGTCTCTCTGTCGCCCAAGGAGCCAAAAAGCAAATACCGATCTAGCAGCTAATGTCGCTAGCTAGCGAGAAAAGCGAGGGAGGGAAAAAATAAAAAATAAAACTTGCTTGGAAAGGGATCCAAAGCAAAAAAACGCACAAAACCGCTTTGGATGCATGATTACGTCGTGAAATCGGAGAATTTTACAAGTAGAGCTGATATTCTCCGGCTTGGTAGCAGTAAGAGAGGAAGAGGCGTTTCAATTGCATGTTTCGCAATGGCGGGTGTTGAACTATGACACATTTTCAACGGCATTGAATTATTAGGGAAAGGTGTACATATGTGTGTAGGTACATGAATCCATAGGAATCGAGCGAGAGTCCATATGCCATATCCCCAGCTACATACATACTTACATACATGTACCTAGTGCTCTAGCTAGAGTATATTCTACATACACACAGGGTGCATGCCATGTACTCTAGTTCGGTTTGCATCAGGTTCTTATCTCCATATGCCACTGACCGAGTGTCTAAAGACAGATTCTAGCCTACAGTAAGTTCCGGTTCCGTCTTTTGGCCGCGCAGTTTCCGGCTTTACCTGAGGAAACGTCAAATTTGGGGGAGGGAGGGGTGATCGTGGACTTCCATGTATGTAGTACCAATACATTTAGTCCAAAGCCGGCTCGGTCATTTCTAGAGAAGCGAGTGAGTTAGTGAGCGAGTGGGTGATCGAGTGAGTGATTGATCAGTGATGTGAGTGACACACTATGATCCCGCCCGCTCACCCGCTCACCCGCTCACCCGCTCTGTAATCGCAGACAGGCAGCTAGGCAGGTACATGTATGTATATCGATATGTAGCTATCCGGATCTTCTTCATTCCAAGATTACAATATCTTGATAAGCGGGTCATTGTCGTTGTCGTCGTAGTCGTGGTCGTGGCCGTTGTCGTAGCCGTAGTCGTTGTTGCAATCTCTTCTGCATACTTACCTCTATTTCGGCACCGAGGTTAATAGGCATTCTGGCCGAGATGTTGTGTGAGCGAGTGTGAGCGTGTGAGCGTGTGCGTCGGCGGGCGGTGATTGTGGTTGTGGTTGCGGTTGTGATTGTAAGAGGGACCGCGGATAAGTATAATTGCTGCGCGCGTAGGGGAGTGTCGGTATGTATTAGTAGAGCACCGTACTAGCCCACTGCATGCGCAGCAGCCAGTAGCATTTGAGCATAGAGATCCAATTACAAACCCAACTATGTACTAAGCTCAAGAAGAATAAGAATAAGAGAGCTACTGAAAACGAGAGAGACCAATGTAGTTTCAAAGTCACAAATAACGGCCGGGGAATATTTTTCCCTTCGCATAGCTAGCTCTAGTCGTAGTAGACCCTTACTCTAGACCCTTTTTTTTTTTCTGTTTCCGAATTCCCCATTTCACCGGGAATGGCAATTCGCACCCTGCCCTCAGAGTACGACGAGTCTGTAGGTGTACCTACATGAACCTACATGTCGGTATGTGCGCTTGGCCTCTTTTTTTCCTTGTGTGTATGTAGGATGTGTAGTGTAGTTCGAAACTAGATGGGAAGTCCAGTCTAGTCGATGGAGGATTCAGTCACAACGACCAAATCACAACGTCCGTCCCGCTCACTCACTAACTCATGTCACACCCGTGCATTGGTACATTAGACATGTTTGCAAGCAAGAAAAACTTTATGAATCTGTTCCACCCTCTGATATGGCAAATTGCCATATCACTTTTTTTCCTCTCTAAAACGTACATACGTTTTACTCTAAAAGGGAGGGAGGAGGAGGGAAGCCTATCGGCGCTCTTGCATTTTCGGTACTCGGTATAATCCGAAAATCTTAATTCAAAGGATAGCCGCAGCCGCAGCCGCACTTGCCTCTGCTTGCCTACTTTTATTGTTTGCCTACATCAAGGTACTCTGCACCCAATTGCAACTAACACCAGACATCCCCCCCACCCAACCACTACCGGTATATCACTACATCTCCCAGTCTACTACCACTACCCCCTCCCCATCTATCCGCTTTCGGACCGAGCCTCCCCGCACATACGCTCCGGCAGTCACATCCGTCGGGGGATGCTGGAACCTGTGTTGAATGATGTCGATGGGGGAATACCGGTACCAGTGGGGATACGGAAAAGTATCTTAACCGCCATGGCCAGCAGGAGAAACATCAATTGCGACGGTAGATACATGTGCCTATGTACTCATACAGCTGTAGCTACTGCGAGGGGACTGTATCTAGCATTCTTACGGTCTAGTATCTTCTAGATGTCGCTTGTTCGCTCTCTCCAAGCAGACGGCACTTAGACATGGACAGAGAGACAGGACAAAGAGACACCGTGAGCTGTGTGTAATGTGATGCGATGCGATGTTCATCTCGCTCAACTTTACCTGCTAGCCAGCTGCACTCCAGGTACATGCTAGCTCGGGTTACTCTACCTACGACTCTACTTTGCACAACCCCCGGACGGAGCATCAATTAATATCCCGTTTAACCTATCGCTAGCCAAAGTCACGGGTGTTATGTAAGTTGCAAGAGATATGCACATACCGCCGCCGGTACCTCTCGCTACTCCTGGAGTCCTGGTAGAACAGTGGTACCTTTCAGCGCGAACGCGCCGGTGATCAGTCCGTGGCCGCAGAGCCCATCAGTGCACCACCAAGACGACGACCGCTCATGACGATTCGGGGCACCAGTAGGGTTGGGGGTCTATGTCTTTCTTTCCAGTGTTCTAGCTCTACAGGACTTAGCTTCGATTGAGCTCATGCTCAGCTAGCTACTTTCTTAGCTACTCTAGTTGTTGTTGTCGCAGCTGTCTGTGGTGTTGTTGCAATTGAACCCCAGCCTGCGCGCGTTCTTTCGCTCGTTCACTTTTCCCAACCCCCGTCACGTTAGGAGAGCGATCGATGTCGGACTCTCCTTCTAGCCTGCGGGACTAGGTAGTCAGCCACGCGAACTGCACGCGCGCGGCCATGATCCGAAATCCGAGATTTTGTCTCTAAAGCCATTCCTCTTATTTCCCTCTTCCTGTTTGGCGGTTTTTGCGAGAATTAAACCGGCCTTGTCTTGTCTTGCTCGTCTTGTGTCCTGCCAACTACCACCATACCCCTCCCCCCACCGCCTCCGACGTTCCTAGTGTGGGTAGAGTAAACGTATGTGCATATGTTGCATATCAGACAGGAATTAATTCCAAATAGGGGGATCTTCGTAGGTTCGGGGAAGGGGAAGCGCGATGTTTCCCTAGGGGAGGTTTTGGGTAAACTTGGTACAGTCGCAACTCGATATGCCGGAACTCAATACACCGGATCCCTTGCTGTCCCGTACGAGATCCTCGGAGAACATTATTTTTCCTACTGCAAAATCAATTTGCTATCCCGGATTTTTTGCTATCCCGTACGAAATCCTTAGAATCTTGGCAATCCGGCATATCGAGTTGCGACTGTAGTTGGAAGCAGTGAGTGGGCAATATACTTGGCAGACTTGGTTATGGCCTGGGCACTATTCCGGATCGGGATGAGAGTCGGTATAATTAATAGATCCAGTGGAGGTTTCGAATCTCGTACATTCTTGCTTGGATCATTCACCCCCGAGGAGCCGTGCTATCATTGGCTTGGTTTGAAGGGCAATTATCATCATCATAATTCATCATAGATACTTCACTTGGTAGCGGTACGTAGAGCAATATGTAGGGCCCGGACGGGGTGTGTACTGTGTCTATCTACCGTACTTTACCGTACCGCCCCTTCCCTTCGATCTGTACCTTTGGTTTGTTATGGACCCGTGTCCATATAGATCGTGATAAGTCTTTTGAGCTGAGACCCTGACTGACGGGGGCCCGGGGTGGAGGAGGGGAAGGAAAGAGCCGCCAGACCGGGCTAGACTGGAGCCATGATGATCAACCGCTAGTTATGATGTAGGGCAAATGTGGAATGGGCTTGCTTAGCAAATATAACAAATCAAAGTGCTACAAATTTCGAATTCACTAAGGAGATTAATTAATCCTCATATGTGTTACTAGTAGAGTGGTTAGTAGGTTAGTAGGGACTGTAGTAAGTAGAGTATGTTGATAGAGGCTAGTATCATAGAAACAACCCCAATCTCTCCCCATACCCCCCCGGCGGCGCCTCAATTGCTCCAAATCCTGGGGAAATAATTCGCAGATGGCCGAGCAAGAGCAGGCATGGTCAATATGGCCGTGCCTACCGGTGAAGAAAGGAACATTGGCGCCTGTAGCTCTAGAGCTATGATATTAAAGAAAAGAAAGTTTTATAAAAAAAAATATATACCATGACATCGATGATAATAATAATTGCCGTGGGCGTAAGGGATTAAGGGAAAGAGCGAGAAAGAAAAAAGATTTAATTAGTTATAATCTCGACCGTAATCTCAGTCGGCGACTCCGAAAAGGAGTTTGAGTCCGTCCGTCCGTTCTTTTCGTTCGTTGAATTTATTATTATTATTTTTATTCCCCCAATCCATGATCTATTTCTCTCCAACCACCAGCGCGCCGGCGCAGCAGAAGCAACAACCATCACACCCCCCTCCTCCCAATTCCACCCCCGTACGTCTCCCGTTCGCGTCCCCATCCCAAGAATCGAAGTGTTTTGTCCTTCACGGTGCATGTATGTACCACGATTAGCGAGAGGCTGGGTTACCTTCCGAAAGCAAAATATATAATCAATATCGAAACGGTTGTTCCGACCCTTTGAGTTGTGCTGTGTGTGCAGGGCCTGTACCGTAACTGTCTCTGTCTTGCTTGTACTTGTTGCCCCTGTGTACGGACGGACGTCGCTCGCTCTTTCTAACTTTCTCGGGTCCTACCGCCCCAGGGCCCCAGATATAAGCCAAACCAAAAAAAAACCGAAGAAGAAAAAAAAACGTGGGAAATCTTACCACGTGGGGGGGAGGAGGTCCTCCTTCTGCTTTCCTCTATGAACTTACTCTATGGGGGACGGGGATCGGGATGGGGATAGTGGAATTGGGATGGGTTTATTGATGGGATGTGCTGCACATCAGGGCTGGCTGGCGCTGGAAAAAAGGCCCCGTCCCTAAAGGAAGAAAAATAAAATACAAATGTGAGAAATAGCAATGGACGTCTGTGCTAACCCACTGAGACAGGTTTAGAAAAGAATTCCAAGCGAACGCTCTCTTTCTGTGTGACTGTGTGACGTGAGAGTCAGAGATACGAATGCGTGCTATTGTACATGCTCTACAAAGATCGAGAAGAGGGAGACAGAGAGAGAACGACCGCCCTGTCCTTCCCAAAGAAACTGTTTCCGGCCGTGAGTAGGGTCCAGACTGTTGAAAAAGTACCGTGGGTAGAGTAGCAGGTAGGGAACAGGGAGATGATCAATTAGAGATGATTTTCGTTGCAACCCCTACATAACTACATCGTACATAACATACTCCATCACTCGCTCACTCCCTCGCTCGCTCGCTCCTCTGGATAAATTAATTGGGTCAAGCTAGGTCTGGCCTGCTTGTCTGTCTGCCTTTGACTCGGGGTAGGTGTGATTCGAGCGGCTGTGGGCTGAAGATTGGGTAGAGTGCCTAGAGAGTGCCGTATGTACATGTATGTTATGTAGGGTGGGAGATCTGTGAATTTTGAAACAGTCCCTAGACCATAAAAAAACCGTTGAAGTCGCCGACTCTCCAGTTTAAGTTCGCTCGCGCACTCCGTGGAATGGGGGGCTGTGCCCGCATATCAAGAGCCTCAAATCTGGAACATGGCCAATCAGAGGCCCTCAACAGACGAAGCTATGCCGGGGTCGGCGTCCCCTGTGTAACAGATGATGGCAAAGGCGGGATACCGACACCAACTCAACTAACCTCCTCCGCGCAGGATTGTCCCTGAGGCTCTCACTAAGGTCTGTCACTCATCATCCTCACCCTCACCCCCTCGCTGTACCTCACCCTGTTCGCTCACCTCACTCGTTTCGGTTTCTAAACTCACCGTTCTTGCTCATCTCAGGAAGAGCTAGAAACGAGAAGGGAACTGTGGGCTCGAGCTAATACGGAAAGGGGGACTTTCCTCGCCCATACGGGGCTAGAGGCGGAAGGCTTCCAGGACCTAAAGACATCCTAACCACACACATTTCTCAAGTGACATTTTTAGCAGACAACGGGCCCGCCGGATGTCAAAAGAAGTGTGAGTGCACCTTGAGCTAGACTCGCCAAATCAACCAATAGAACCCCATGGTCAATTAAGCTAATGCCGATCCTTCCCATCCCCCTCCCCCTTCCACGAACCTCCCCCAGGTTCTTTCTCACCACCACAACCACTACCCCCCACAGTGTGTTCAGAATTCAATAGTGCTCCGTCTAGCGTCTTTCAAAGTATGTAGAGTGGTAGAGTGGGAGGCGGAGAGAGAGAGAGCGCGTCGTGTCATCATGTCCCTCCTGCGCAACTCCAGTAAAACGGTAAGTAGTTACAAACAGTCATCACCACCCATCTACATCATCGTAACCATACTCTATCAAGAGTGGGGGAAACTTTGCCTCATCGGTAAAGGAAAAAAAAAAAAAAAACGTTGGAACTGCATCTCGGCCGAGCTCAATCATAGTGGACCCTTCATGACTCTCTCTCTCTCTCTTCGATTCCCATCATTTGTAGATCTAGATACTGATCATATTGCTGGCACAGATTGCGCCTTGTCGTCCAGTTGTCAGTCCCAGTGCGCAGAGTTTTGATAGTACGTACGTACATTGTACATGGATTCCCCCCCCTACGTACCATACTTGAGGTACATCATTACTCCTCAATACTTGTCACTTCACAGTCATTCATGCCTGGATACGGGAATACAGGCAGATATGAACTTAAAAAAGGAACCAGGGGCCACTCATAGGACACTCGTGGCGGGCATATTGGGATTTGTTCTCACCGCTCAGGGCCGCTGAATGGATAGATTGATATTTATCACTTCCTTCTTGTTCTAGCGGAACAAGGGGGTGGCTTTAGCTGGATTATTGCGTGTGCTGAGAGTCACGATGCTCTGGCGATTGGGTTGATGCACGGTTATAATTGTGTTTCAGTTGACTGGCACGAATGAGGATGGTGGTTTGGTAAACTGAGACATTGCTCGTTCCCCCAACCTTTCTCAGCGAACCGCAGTTACATGTCCATGCAGCGAACGTTGCCCATCAACTTGGAACATGATTGACATATCCTCCTCGAGCTGAATTGGTCTCACATTAACGCAAAAGGCGTAGCCAAGATTGTTATTTTCGCGATCCAATTTACTTCCTGATAAAAGGAAAGAAGAAAAAAAAAACGTGGACTCCAATTGATTTTTGTTGCTTTTATTTGAAATTTTTTCTCTTCTCGTGGATCCATCCGATACCCTTGTCGACAGTCGGCCTTTCTCACCACCATCATGATTTACGGACAATTTCCGGACTTTACCTGGGCATTTGCGGCGGAGACCTCGACATATTTTGTTAGGGACGTATTTTCTCTATCAAACAGAAGTACGTGATCGCTGCTCTTTTGGCTCTGCAAGTGAGCTGTTCCCAAAGTAGTGGACGGCGACCATTCAACGCTTGGCATGACCAGGTCAGGAAGCGCACCCCACGCGGGGAGTCGTAGAGATCCTCCCCCTTTCGTCGATGGAGGTTCCAAGGCTCAACGGTTGGTTGCACCACCGAGATTATGATGCATACGGGCTCAAGCATGACTTGCTGCTGCTCCAAAGCAGGAGCCGTCCATACCATACAGTTCGTCTTCTGCAGCAGCAGACACCGTCCCATCATCATCACTTTCCTGCTGCTGCTGCTCCTGCCTGCTCCATCACTCTGCCTGCCTGCCCCACCCGAGGCGGGCCTACCAAACCATAAGTCCCGGAGGATCAGGAATTTTAGAGTAGGGGTATGGTATGGGAGGGCCGGATCACGTAGGCTGCACCCGACAGAGAGGGCCGGGTATCGTGATTCGCATCTACTCTAGCTTTGACCGTTTGCGGAGAAGAGTAGCGAGTTTCTCGTTCGCTTCTTTGACCACTCGACTTGCATGACCTCCTTTGACCCAGGTGACAGCAGCCAGCAACCTCAGTCGGTGCTTTCTGTCGACAGCGATACCTTACCCTTCCACTCCCACACACACACACACACACTCACACACACACACACTCTCTCTCACATCATCCTTCATCTTCCCTTCCCCTTCCCCTTCCCCATCTCCCATCCCGATCCCCATCTTCCCTTGGGATGATGAACTGGAAGGTAACACTCGTACGAAATCTTTCAACGGTAAGCTACATGTGAACACTCGAGAACCGAGTACTACATTACATACATATCAATCTCAATAAAATTCTCGATGGATGGATGGAATGGAATTCTATTTTCATCATTCATCCAACCCTAAATGTGGGTGAGCGTGGACCATGGCCGTGTACTCTATTGCTGTTACCGTCCGTCAGTTCCCTCTTTTCAGTTTTTCTGTCTGTCTTTCCCATATACAGAAGTAATGCAGAAAAGTAATGTATGTTCTACTGCTTACAGGCTGCTGCCTCCCACACCAAAAATAATGACCTGCCTACAGGAGCGCACCAACCAGCTCCTCGCACACACCCTAGACGAGACGCTGAGCCGTGTTGCTGGGTTGGTACTGGGGTATCCATCCTCTATCTTGGGTTAACTGCGGCGAGATCGAGCTGTATCATTTCCGTACTCTACGATTCCTGCGCGCGTTCCGTTAGGAGGTTTCCCATCAATTACGTCCTGTCCGTGCTGCAACATGCTGCTCGCTTTCCGAAACTAACCTCCCAGCTGCCGTCGCCTTACAGCGCCACTGGTATCTGTTGCAAATCGCGGAGAGACATCTGAGACCTGTGTTGGGTGGACCTCAACAACGTCGGCGATTCGGAGCCCCTATGAATATCATTTCCATGATTGGCCGAATTCCAAGAAGAAGAAGAAACCCACCGTACGGAGAGACAACAATCGACGTCTGTCCGACCCTAGCACCGAGAGGGTCGTGCAGCCCACCTTGGGGTGTCTCCCCTCTGGTTTAACCTGTAAATCTTTTTTTCTTGAGAGGTGTAACACCAACGCAATCTCTGCACTGTAGGTCAGTCGTCAAACCTCCAAGGGCAACCTGGTTTTCTTTTAGCCCAGAACAATGTTTTGGCTGCAGTCCTTGTCTTGGTTGGCCAGATCAGGAGTTGATACCCAACAGATTGGAGTCGGACAATCGACAGGCAGCGCATTGACGGTAAGGGGGCTTGACTAGATATACTCTAGCTCGCGGTCATCGGGGGTGACGGATCCGTCATCGGCAGTTGAGATCTCGACACTCTGACCACTTGCCAGTGCCAAAGGTAGGAAAACGGTTTGCAAATTTAGAGGGAAGAAAAAAGCAACTCCCAGTCCCAAAAAAAAAGGGTCTAAAGCAAAAGGAATAAAAGGAAAAATATCATAGGGTACGCCAGAGACATACCGGACAGCGGGTGACTTGTCACTCAACGGGGTCAAGCGAGAGCCAGAAAGAAAGCTTTTTGATCGTTTTCTGTCATCCAGCTCTGCAGGCGACACTAGCACTTAGTGGAAAAAAAATGATTGACCCCTAAAGGGCTAGAGCCACCGTACATTATTATCATGTCCATGTTTAAATCCTCTGCATTGACCAGTACACTCAAACATTGCGGCAGAAGGATTCTCCCTGGACTCAAAAATAGCGAAAACATATTATTTGGACGAGGAGGGAGGGGGGTTGGTTGTTGCAATTGTAATTGACCACCCGGGATAGCGCCTATGACCAGACTACCCTGTTCGACACCTTGATAATAGCCGCTTGATCATTAACACATACATCCCGCAACTGAAAGCGTCCCCTGTCGTACATCAACGTCCCGGGGGTTTGGCAACCCCCTCCAAAATAGCACAACTTTATTACACATCTAGATTTTTGGATTTCATTCTTGGGTAGTGTTAACCTGACACTTGATGTCTGCATATAAGCTTGGACACTCCCGCCCTCCGTTTCGGTGGCCGAGTTTCTGGGTTCACCTCTGCGCTGTTTTATCATCCTACTTGCTGCTTCAGCTATTTGTATCTGGGTGAACACATACATAGGTATCCAGCCAGCATCATCACTCCGAATCTGTCTGCAGAGACCATTTTTCCACCCACACTTTTCCCATATCTACCCTACAGGGTTTTTTATTGCGCACCGTTGTGTGTTAACTCTGCAAGTTCCTTTCTAACAAGGCTCACTTGACGTACTACCACCTCCACCGAGTAACACCTCACCAAACGCTAGCGGTTCAGTCTGAATCTGGGTCACAACTAAGATCTGTGAGACACACATAATTGTCACTGCCCATCACACACTCTGCATATCACGTCACAGCTAGTCGTAGACCCACGTATCACGCAGCAGCTGCTCAAGACAGGAGAAATACCTGGCCGTTGTTCAGTTAGAGTTTCGGCACTTAAGCACTCAATTTTGTGTTGGTAAGAGGTGGAGCACAGGACAACAGCTGCCTATTAGCTTCATAAGAGTTTGACCTTTTTCTCGGGCTCGGACACACGCCAAGACTACGGTGGTTTGCTTCTTTACTTCCTCGCTCAGCCATCCCCCCGAAGTCAAGTCAAAATCCCGCCTATTAAGGTTACATAAACTTTCCCGGCTCCCCCGTTGTAAGTCTTTCCCCTGAATCTTTCCGCTAAAGCATACGCTGAAAGAATATAAGCCCAACTTCCCCCACCACCAACACTTTTCTCGACACATTTTCCCCTCAACGTCAACCAACACCTGAACGCCTGAACACCTGAACACACCTGAGCACCTGAACACCTAAGCACTCTAACAACACATATCCTCACTACCTTCAACAAGAACAATAACTTCATCCATCATGCAGCACAGACGTGGGCCATGGTCCGCACACGAGGACTCTCAATTACTCAACCTTGTTCAAATTCATGGACCTCACAACTGGGTTAGAATATCCCAGATGGTAACTTCACGGTCACCAAAGCAATGCCGGGAACGCTACCACCAGAATCTCAAGCCTACGCTCAACCACGAGCCCATCACACCCGAAGAAGGTGAACTTATTGAACGTCTCGTCGGAGACATGGGCAAGAGATGGGCCGAAATTGCTAGGCGTCTTCATGGCCGAAGTGACAATGCGGTCAAGAACTGGTGGAACGGTGGAATGAATAGACGAAGACGCCTGTGCATCCGCCAGAGATCCGAGTCTCACAACCCGGACCGCCGCTCCCACGAGCCAATGTCTCCATATTCGCCAAATACTCATTTCCACCCCCCCGGTCTTACTATCGATGTCAGCAGGAGGACTCTTGACGAGCCGTTGTCTTCTCCTGCTTTCTCTGATGGTTCTCGCGGCCAGACTCCATCTCTCATCTCGGACGCCAATTCCAACTTTTCAACCTCACCGAGACTGCCTGAGACACCTCTTACCGCCGAGAACGCCATCATACTTCCCCCGCTCAAGGATCTTTACCACGGGGAACGACGGGCCTCGATGCCTATTCTCAAGAGCGCTGCATCACTCCATATCCAGGAGCATTCAGCCTACACTCAGGACGATACCCGCCGGTGGGTGTCCAACACGGACAGCCGGAGGTCTCAGGATTACCACACACAATACCAGCAGCACTACGAAGTTCCCTCTTCGGATTTCCGCATGAAGCTCTCCAACTTGTGTTCATGAGTTTGGTTCACTCAAAAGAAGAAAAAAGAACACAAAAACACAATCATTACATTTTTCATTCTAACCTTACTTTTTATAATCGATTGGAAATTTACTTGGGAAATAAGGGATATTTTTCTTTGGGATTTTCTATTCATTTCGGTTTTTTCATTTTTTTTTTTTTATTCTGTGGAATATTTTATAGGATGTCCTTACGGCCGACCATTGTCATATAGCTCGTTTCGGGATCTCTTTTGTACTTGTTTTTATTATTTCTTTTGTACCATGGCTGGGTTTCTTGGGGGTTATAGTTTTACTTCATGGGATTATTCTTAGGGTAGGCATGGGCGGGGATTTCTCTCTGTTTTTATGGGCATTTCTTTTGGGGGGGTCTTTTTTATTTGTCTTCATCGACACCACTACTACTACCGTCATAATTTCCTTTTCTTGACTACTTTATCTTATTATATCATCACTCACCACCGTTGAACTTTATTTTTTACTTTTTTTTCCTTCATTTTGAAAATAGGACTTGCACTTGGAGGGAACGGCGTTTACAACTTCTCTTTGTCATTTGGGGAAACTACACTTTGGGCTTGGATGGGTGGGAGAGATATCTTGTGGAATTGCCTTGGTTCTGGTTTCTGAAGCCGAAAGAGTTAGTTTAGGGATTAAACTATTATTATTCCTTATTCTCTGATTGATTATGTTTTGTCATGGCTTTTTTAGGAATGAACTGCAGATCACGGGAGAGAAAAAACGGCCACTTTGAATCTTTCATGTTTCCTTTCGCTTGCCCGTTTCGTCAAGATAAGTTGGCGATCGAGCTAAGTATTCCGAAAAAAAAATCAAAGAAGCATGGGGCACTCCACTGACCAGGCCCAAGCCAGGTAAGCACTTTCTTTTTCTTTTTTCCTTCTAGAGAGCTAGCAAGGCATCGATCGAGAACTCGACGACCAACGAAGTTAGAAAGAGCCAGTTACCAGTAAGATTTGTTGTCGATCATTCTACCATTTGGTAGTTTTGGTTAGCAACCAAGCTCTCAATGTGACTACCAGACCCCATGGGTATAATTATTTATCCACCCCCTTTGTCTCGCTTCCTATTTTGAGATATTTGGCTTTATCCTGCTGCCGCCAGTTAGAAAGGAGAAAAAGAATACGAAAAGGGGGGGGGGGGGGGGTAATAGGTTGATTCTATCAATACTTACCATAGGGGGATTTCCAATTATTATTCTTGTGGATTTGGAACACGGGGAAGTTAGAACTCTAAGAGGCCGGCATCAAAAGAATGGCATGATTATTGCCGTTTTCCCTTTTCTTTTTCTCCTTGGTTCTCTCTTTTGAGACTTTCCAAACAGCCCAAACAGTGTCTAGATTATTAATTCTCATCGTTTTTGTGAGCAGGAGGGAGGGGTCTAAGTTCTATGGATATCTCTCAACACAGTTCTGCGATATGATGATGGCAAGGCCAGATGAAACCCGAGACACGCTGGCAGCTTGTGCATTTCGGGACTAGGTAGTTGTTTTTCACCGAACCACTCCTCGTAGGGAGAAATATGAAGAGAACTGTGTCTCAACAAACCTGTCTCTTTTCTCGTTGTATCCCACACTCTTCACCGGCGTGCGTACATACCACTGTATGATATATGCGGGTAGTGTGATCATGATCTTCTTCCCCACCCTCATTCTCAACCCTCCCACCTTGTGTGTCCAGGTTCCCAAACCTAGCCCTGGAATCGTCGCCGATTGGGGAACCAGGCTGCAGGAGTCCGTCTCTCTCTCTCCGCGCATCGGCTCTCGTTACCAAGTGGCCATACTATTGATTAGTTAAAAAGCAAATAAATAAAAACCGTCCAGATATGACATGGAGTTTGGCCCTTCACTGGTGGTCTTACTTTTTTTTTGCTCCAGTAGGTCAGAGGAGGAGGAAGAGGAGGGGGAAAAACAAAAGAGTCACAATGTTCGTTGGAAAGATGGGGACACACAGGACAATGGGAAATGACCACCCTCTGCTCTTTTATTTTTCCATTCCATTCCTATGCCGATGGTATGCATTTCTCTTGATTTCCCTTCCAACTTGTTGATCCACATGAGGATGGATTGTACATCGATTAGCGGGAGTCTTGTCAAACAGAAACCAGCGATTCTGATGCAATAGCCAACGCACCACCAACCTTGCCTGCCTCGCCCTACTTCTCTTCTCCCTCCAGGCCCTGCCACACCCCTCCATCTCCTTGGTCGTTGATGGGCAGAAGAAACAGTCTTTGAACGGCGAGTGCTCTAGCCCTGACCCCACCATAACCATGATGGACGTGTTCAGCGGATCGGAAGGAAGGCTTGATGTCAAGTTCCTTAGCGTCGCACTTTGCGTCTACGTAAGAACTGTGCTCCGAGCTTGGTCCGATGTCAGTGACAAAACCCAGCTGAACGTCTGAATTGTCCGTGTCTTGAAGTGCACCGAATCAGTTTACGTTGGAAACAACCCACCAAAGCGGTTAGCCTGGGACCATTGATTATCTCAAGATGGTTCTCGTCTCCGTCGTCCGCCTCCGTCTCCGAAGGATTAACGCACAGCATTGACCACTATGACGCTTATCATGACGACAAGGGAATTATGGTAGACAAAATGCCAAGGTAGATAATATTTTTTTTATATTTTATAATTAATCAAAAAAAAAAATGGTGATGGTTGTGGTTGTGGTGACGACGGCTGCTGTTCCCATTACTCCTGTTGATGGTTGTTGATACTGATACCGGTGGTATTGGGGGGCATGGATCGAACCCACTCTACTTCTTAGGAGTGCGATCTTGGGGGCCCAGATGCCGAGAAACCTGGTCGTGGATAAGAGATCTCTGGGTCTCTTTGGTTCAAATTACTTGCGCGTAACCTGGTGGATAATGTATGTGTACTCTATGTACATATATCCGTTCTAGGCTCTGCACATATTGGTACCATATAACCACCCCTGTGCTATATAATGGTTCTGTTCGCCGTCCTGGGGGGGGGGCTTTTTCCTTCTTGCTTTCCTGGGAACGCGCTGCGCTCGTAGCATCATCTAACATATCGCGCCAAATCGATCCACGGATTCGAGCCGTGTGGTCTCCAGGATTGGCTCTGCGCCCGGCCCGAGCATGGATCATGGATGATCACCCTCACTAATCTGGATGATGTGCGACCGTGAAATATTGGACTATTTTTAACCCCCATTATCAACCTCAGACAACAGCCACAGTTAATAGTGTATTTTTCGGCCTTTTTTCCCTATTCCTATTTTCTTTCTAAAGTTCAAGCCTTTCCTCGGAACAGTCTCCCTATCATGACTGGTGGTCCGTGTACGTCCCGAAGAACTTCTTGATAGGGATCTTAGCTGTGCTAATGTGTACCAAGATTCTGGACCAGTGCGTATTATTTATTTATTGTGTTGTGCACTTGATCTGCGTATTTGGAAGTTTCCGGGCGCATAATGGAAATGAGTGGATGAGAGTGTTTATCTGGGATTGATATATGCCGCTTATTATATTTAATTGAGCCATCCGAGTATTGAAACGGCGACCTGGAGATGGGGTAGAGGGAGGGCAGGGTATGTATGGGGATGGAATAGACTCTTGTTAATATTAATATATGCGCCGGAAGAGGGTAGAGTTGGGAGTACCGGCGCTCTGGTAGTAGCAAAGACTACGTTCTAGACCTTACAGACGCATGGCATTCTACCAAGTTTACCCGGCCGCAAGACCCTGATTCGCTTACATAACGTAACTGCAAGTTATGGCTGGTTGAGACTTCACAACCTCAACTTCACTCACATGCGAGAGCTCTTCTCTCACACCCCCTCCCTGTTCCACCTCATCCACCCCTCCTCTATCAAAATTACATACAGTTTTCTGTACCTCGTCGGTGCTGTGAGCTTTATCTTTTCTGTTTTTGGAACCTTTTCCCTCAATTCTCTCGTTCCCCACTTTTGTCATTTGCTTCCCTGTACGAAAGGTACCTCAGGATATACTCCCCTACCCACTCAATAAGGCTTCATCATGAACGCTGGAGGAGACGAACAACGGTAAGTGGGAGATTATTGGACTTATTTTTGTTGTCATGTTTCCCTTACGCCCCATGGTGGGACACGGACACGTTGCTTGTTCGTCGGGTTTGCAACCGCACCTGCTGTGTCAAAGGATTCCTTGAATGTTTACACATGAACATTACGCTGATATATGTGTTCCTTGGCTCTAAATAGTTGGCGTCAGCGGGGCCAACAACCGGCGCAACGATCGCAGGGCGGTGGGCAGCGAAGGAACAACAATCCCGGGGGGAACCCAAACAGCAACGGGAATGTCTGGCAGGGCCCAAATCAGCAGCAGCAGCAGCACCAACATCAGCAGCAACAACAGCAACAGGCAGCACAAGCTTACATTGATGCTCACGTGCCCGTTAGAGGGTTCAATGGGAAGGAAGTGGAGGATTTTCTGTTTCGTGGTACGTGCAAAACCGTTATTCTTAATCGTGTTTCGGCATACCGGAGATGACGAAAAGGTATCACCATAACTGGGATAGTATACCTAGAGCCTTGCCTCCGAGATATTTTGTTTATTTCCTTAACTTTTTTTCTTTTTTTTCTTTTTTCCTCAATTGATTTATTCCGTCTTGTTTTTTTCTCGCTACATTGGGTCCCGACTCATCGCGAATTTCGGCACATTTTATTTACCTTTCTACCCCACACCACACAAGTCCTGGATTATTCCCTTTGGGAAATCTGGGATGCCTTGGATCCGCTTATCCTTCACATATTGTCGATCATGCTTACGAACGTTTCTGTACAACCCTGCACCTTTATATGTTTTTTCTCTCTTTTCGTGCAACGTTGCGATGAAAGCGGTAGTTTTGTGTCATATTCACCGAAACCACGCTAGAGCGCTCTTTTTTGGATTTTGTTACGCTCTTGCATGTAGCATTGCGGCGGCGGCTATCTCTCCCTGCTACATGCCTTCCTGCTGTTGCCTGCAAGGCGTTATTGCGGCAGGGAGGTTTTTGGAGCTCGGGACAATTATTTTGCGCATTCCTTTATTGACCGGGATTATTTTCTCTTTTTTACAACATCCAATATGCATTGCCCAGATCTTAAACTGCCATTATAGGAAGTATTCGGCTAATAACATTTCTGAGGTTTGTAGCTTATGAGAAGGAAATGCAGGCGGCAAAGAATACGGGTGTTGATCAAAGTAAGTCTAGCCCTTCCCCTTCCAAGCTTACGGTTCTTCCATGAAACGTGCAAGGAATCGCCGGGATGTCAACGGCTTCATTCCCATGGCTGATGCCTCTTGAGAACATTTGGGATATCTCCCAGGTTTCAGTTGAATTTTGTAACACATAGTTGTTCTGACACCTGTGGCTAACGTGTTAAGGCCAAAAACCTATGATTTATAAGTCTGACAAGGACAAAGGCTGGTCGACACCAAAGAATGCTTGGGGAACTCGAGGTTTGCTTTATACCCCTCTTGGTTATCTGACGAAAATTGCATTGATATTTGTCATTGGGCACCGTTAATTGTACTGCACTGACTCTCTAGCAGCCAATGCGATGGCTTCCGGCGGCAACTTTTTGACTCAGCTCAAAAAGAGCCAAGCAGCTTTGCAGAACACCCCAAGGGATTAATTACCAGATATCGCGATAAAATTTGGAAATGAAAGGCAATCGGGGTGTTCTGTACTTTGTGGAGTTTTGGAAAAAGAAGTCTGGGCCCTTAGATGCCCATTTACAACGGAAATAATTAATTTTAGCTTTGCTTATGGCGCTTCCTGTCCCGGTGTTCTTGTTTTTTTTTTTTTTTTTTTGTACGGAATCACGGCTTTAAAAGTGTCCAGATAGACATAATAGGTCGCTCAGCAAAGTAGAGTGCTTGATTTTATCCGAAATCATATTTTGAACTAGTCATGATCCCCACGTAGCTGTGAATGGAGAGATTTCACTATCAAGTTTGGATTTGAATATTATTGGCTCCCGTGACTACGGATGCACTACTGCCATGGGAGGCATGCTCTAGTAGCTCGCGCTTTTCTTGTTGCCATGCAATAGAAAACCAATCAAAATCGGCCTGTCAATAATTGCTTATCCAATCAGCAGACCCCCGACCTACAAGCTTGGCGGCTGCGCGCTGTAGAACCTCCCATCGCGCCCTGCATTTTTCTCCCCAGACGCCACAAGCTAGAGTGCGGCAGCAAAAATTGGAATGATTTGATGCCCGAAGCTGTCGCGGATGTAACCACGGTGATAAGTGCTCCAGAAAGCTAGTTAGGTAGATACTAAGAACGCGAAAACAGGGGTGTAAATTAAATTCACCAATCCCCCTTGCGATAGGCTTACGCGAATTAAAAATCATTATCGGTAAAAGGCATTATGGATTCCTGTTTTGCCCTCCTGAACGAAGTTCAAAGATGTGTTATGTGTGGTGGCAAATATCTTCACAGCATAATATGTGGGAGCTGAGGTTCTCCTTGTGTCTTGTGTTACCATGGCTACAGGGGGAAAGGCGACGACGACTTCAGCTCCAGGAACAATTTTGGGAATTTTTTGCCAACAATTTTCCAAAAAGCGTTACCGGATAGAGCTGATACTGAAATGTCTGATATCTAACAACCTTTCAAATGTAAATTTTGATTAATACTAGCTAGGCTGCAGCCCATGTGTTATGAGTACTCGTGCTTACACAATGGAACTACCTAGACAATTGACAACCACGTCCACGTCTACCTTCAGAGTATTCCCAGTCCCAAGAGCTCTATAGCCAATGGCTTGCTTAAAGGGCGTGCTTTGACACGATCCACGAGTCTCACATATGAAGGATTTTTTTAGTCTCCCTTGTTCTCCTGAAAAGCGGCAATCATGGATAGGTCGAGATCCTAAAATGATCAATTGCGTGGGGGCTTCAAAGGACGTGAATGTCTGGCAATTTAAAACTTGACGCCTATCATGTACTAGACTGAGCCTACACAATTGCCAGCAGGCCTCCATATAGTGTTTTTGACTCGGGCTCAGACCCCATTGACTCAGGAAAGGCTGGGGGTAGCGACACAATTCAAGAGGGTGATTGGTTCCGTGAAGAATTTCGCCTGAGCTTTGCATTCTTGATATCCCTTGATATCTGATCGTCACCGTTCTGTAAGGGTTGATAACCATAGTCGAAAATGGAACTGTATTTGGAATACTCGTATGTAGTGGTCATATAAGGTGGCGTTTATGGGTTACACAATACTGAAGCTCCCTCTTGGCGCTCCGTCGAGTGATATTTTATGTTGCGGATGTGCCGGCAGATTCCGAGGAGAGTCCTTCGTACCACTCATCGAAAAGTATCTTCCTATATCAAATAAGTCCGCATTCTAGGTCACCGCTACTGCGAGAAAGTGTGCAACAGGTTTCAAGACCGTTTGGCTCACTGTCCTCATGACTTAGGTCAAAGAGGGTCAGAATATGGACCCCTGTATTGCTTGATATGCCAACGATTGGACTGATCGCCTGCCTAATATCAAATCCGCCGTTGGAGGGACACCAAATGTCTGGGTCTTAGGAAACCTAGTTTGAAAACGGCAGATGAGGGTCTACAGACTATCAAATGATATCACATCTCATGAAACCATGCGCAGTTAAGTATTGTGGAGGCACATTTGGCAGCTGAGTTCACCTTATCCGCCCCACCGTTTCCTTCCCACTAACGGTGTTGTGATTCACAATAAGTATATCCCACATCATTCACATCATTCACAAGGACGAGGGATACTCGGTGTAGCCAGAAGCAGTATGCATCAACTACCGATGGAGAGCAAGGCCCAGGAGTGGGCTAATGGAATAGAGTAAGCTTTACACGGCTTCACCAGACATGCATACATTACTTCATTATTACTCTTCCGCATCATGCATTTTCACTCTCCATCAGACTTTCATATGCATGAATTATCTGCTCTAACCGTATAATTAACTTCCAGACACACCCTCCACTAATAAGTAACGTTGCAGCAAGTAATGACATGACACTTTTCAGTGAAAAATACCGGGGACTATATCCAACTCCTTATTCCTCTCCATGTTTCGTCACACTGTGTTCATTCTTCTTAGCCAAGGCCAGGAATTTCTGACATCCCAATTTCGTAAGATCCTTCCCAGACAACTCCTTGTATCTCTTGACGATAAGGCTATATTTGTCCATGTTGGTAACTTCGGCTTCAGCTTGCTTTAGGAAAAGAAACTGCGCGAGTATCACCAAAATTAATAGTGTTCATAGATAATGAAGATGTCAAGGAAGTACTTCTTCATCAGTGAGTTCCGTATCACGATCCTTGAGCACCTTCTGATAGCGCAACCGCACAGCGGTCAAGGTCCTCTCGTTTCCCGGACCACCTGCTACATTAACAAGATTGGTGATGTCTTGCCAACCTTTTCCTTCTTTCTTCAAATGAATGATGAGATTATCTTCCTCGGTCGTCCAATTGCCTTTTTGCCCGATAGTCGATTTGGGTGCCTTGCGCCTTTTTTTCGTTGCTGGAGTAGAAGAAACGGCTTCTTCGTCCTCGGCATCTGCGCGATTTTACGCATTTAGTTTGAATGCATGGGTGATCCTAATCAAGTACCACCCAACTACAGGAAATACATGTATTCAACTTACCTCCTGGCTCACCACTCTCAGGCTCAGCTACTTCAGTCTTCACAGTTCTTTTCTTGGGCCGCGTTGACTTTTCATTACCACCGCTCTGGCCAGGATTCCCTGCTGAAGTATCATCTGTCTGATCCAACGCTTCGCTGGCGGCACGCTTCTTGCGGGCTTCAACTTTTTTTGACACGGGACGAGTTTTCAGAGGCTTTCTCTCCTGTTTGGCTCCTGCAGGAGAGGCACTAGGAGGAGGAGGGGAAGGGGCTGGCCCTTGGTCTTTTTCATCCTCCTCCTCCTCTTCGATGCCCGTATTGTCGGGTTCGGGCTTGACATTGGCAGAGTTGCCAGATTCGTCAATGGGATGGACGGATACTTGATTTTCTTCTTCGGCGTTCATCTTTTTGGTATGCTTAAGTTTCGATTAAAATGATCGACGTCTGAATATCCTAATATTGCCGGTCCAAGCAGCAGTAGACAGTGCATTGCAGTGCAGCCTTGCCATCCTTATAGATCTCCAGATCAGCTCTGCAGACCCAACAAAGGGGGCTACAAGCATCTCCCATTCTTCGTAACATGGATATTCAGCTACAGAATATTCCAGTCATTGGTAAATACCAACAATCTACCCCGTAACAAACTCTGGAGAGTTGTTGGTGATGCAGTAATGACTATACTCTATACATGGGTATAAAAAAAAAAGGGGGGGGGGGGGGGGGGAGGGTTGCAGAATACTACGCAGTCCAAAATAAAGTTTTCATATATGTTGGTCCACTAGCTTCACGAACAGTCATTTTTTAGCTTTACGCGAAACCACTTTTCCCACCTAATAAACACTCGTATTCGGGAATAGCTTGTGTGATCCCGTTGCGCATGGGTAGATCGAGGATCGTGCGCATCTGGTGATATGCTGTACGTAAAGCTTCAGCAATATTACAAGTGTGTGCAGAACCATTTGTTTGTCAATCCGACATTGATGAACGATCTGCTAGAGCGCTAGCTAGTGTAAATTGAGAAAACTGGATTTGCGGGCTGGGGTTTCAGTTCACTGGTTGGCTTCTTTGTTTTTCACCCACAACACAAAATTATGTGTCACATGTCAGTAATTTGGTAAGCCAATAGTCCAGAGAAAAGCTGCGCGTGTGCAAGGATACCGTATCCGCAGACAAGAGCACATGTTTCATTGCGTTGAGTAAGGACATAGTCCCAATAGCGTGGCCACCGAATGCCGAGTGATAATCAATGAATGTGTCACAAGATATGTAAAATGACCAATAACAGGAAACAACGTATCAAAACGTGGTATTGCACATAGCTATTGTCACTTCCGAGTTTTAGGGGGTTATCTCAGGTGCCTTATATAATCATTACAGAAAGTAGAGGCGTTTCACATCACGCAGACAGGCCGCCAAATCTGCAGCCAAGAAGTGTTTTTATGTGGGCTGGATGTTGTGCTCGATTAATGCATAGGGAACTACATGTAGTCACTCGACAGAGAAAGAGGGTAGAGAAACTACTTAGGTAGATCATCTAATCATATGATTATTCCTTAGTGAGAAAGGCAAAGTTGATGTGACTCAAAAAGAGACACTACATGTAATATAACATGGCTTTATCAATTGATAAGAATTGTCGTGAAATAATTTTATTATTCTTGATATAATTTTTATAATTCCCAAATGACCAATATGATGAAGATAATATCACTACATGTAGATAAGTTATACGTGTTTCGTATGTGGAAGGTTATCGAAACGACGACAAACATCCTCATCAAACTTTCTCCACGGCCCCCCTCTTTCTCTGTATATCGAAAGTCTTGATCTTCGTTCGAATAAGGTGTCTACTAAACCGTTTTCCTGACTTTGACCGTCTAAAAAAATCATTCATAATGGCCGTCTCCCTATTCAAATCAATGCTATCAACCGCCTGCACAAGAATTGCGGCCTAAGATTCCCCCCATAAGTTAGTTCCAACTTGCGTCTTAATAGGAAGAAGACACATACGTCTGCACCTGTCCAGGTAAAATCCAACTCCCTCAATATCACCTTTGAAACCTTATTGTATATCGCCACCTCAGTCCTCCTAGTACCCAAAATCCTAGCAAAATCCACAGAGACTTTCTGGACATTCTTACTCTCCTTCAGCAGATCACGAAGTACCCTCATTTCACCGTCTGTCCATCTCTTGTAACTTTCATCGCCCATATTACCATCTTCAGTATCACTCTCAATCTCCACAGGCTCGTCCTTCACGACAGAAAACCCCGTCTCAATCACATCATCATCATCATCATCATCCTCCTCCTCCTCCTCCTCTTCCTCCTCCTCGTCATCATCGTCATACTCACATTCAGCATAGAGCCTTTCACCAACATACGTACACACCGTTCTACTATTCCCGCCACCGCCGGTGATACCCCCAAACCCCACCCCGCCCCGCCTCTTGTGCTGCCTCCGAGCCGGCACGTCATCGGAATCGTCAATCTCATCAAAGGTCAAAGCAGTCCTTTTCGATCCGCCCGCAACATCAGTTGGCCTGTTATTCTCAAGCGCCAGCGGGAAGAGCGGAAACTGATCATTGACAGCAGACCAGTTTGGTGCGTCATAGTTGGTTTGAAACATCGGTTTTGGGCGTTTAACTATAGTCAGAATCTAGTTACAAGTGATGTGTGCGTGGGGGTTTATCTGATTGATGGGATGCGGCATGTTGGTTATATAACATCATATGAGATCGCGCATATGAGTGTATATATGGGCACATATGGGCGTATATGGGTGCATATAGATTCATATGCAAAGGGAATCTAGCTCTCCAGCTCTCTAGAGGTTCAATGATATTGAGATGGCTGGGTCTAGAGGATCTAGACAAGAAGACGAAAAAAGCAAGAACGTTCAGCGTTATTGATTGTTGTTGGGGATACATCAAACACTCTGTATGTAGATTTCTCTGAATTGGATTCCAAAGTGACATCACAAACAGCAAATATTTGGATTGACACAAACAGATTGACCACGAAGAGTCATCGGGAACGCTCACAGAGGTGTATGGATAGCTTGGAGGGTCCCCAATCTTCATGAAGTGCTCTATCACTCGTAATCATGAAATATCACTCGAGTGATGATCTCAACAACTTGGGGTATGAATTACTAAGCGAGAAATGCTGGGATGAGCTCTTCGCGGAAAATCGTCGACGTTCGACGTGTCAAGTATGTAGCGGCAGAGCTAAAAGGTATAATCACAGTAGCTATATAGGCTTTGGAAAATAATATAAGATAGAATTCGTATTGGTAACTAATAAAATACAAGTAATGCAGGCTTAAACGCCAATTGAAACAAACAAATGACCGAAAAAGAACGCGAACCAGACTTTCACTGCCCACCAAACAATGTTAATATAGAAAGACGCGTCGTTACTGCCCTCCAAAACCATTCTTTAGTTTATATGCCAGTGAAGATAGGGATATATAAATCCCATTCCAGGATGCACATCCGCGCGTCGTCATGTTTCGATTGTCGGGGTATATATTAAAGTAGATTATGAAACAAGAGATATAGCTGAGGGGGTTGCATTGTACAGATGCTTGTAGTCGTGAGACCGACCTGCATAAAAAAAGGTAGCATAACATTTCCTCATCCTTGTAAGTATATTTTTAATATTAATAATAGGTAAGACGCGGAATGTAAAACCGCAAGTGTTTGGCTTTATTATTTTCGTAGGACCATCATTTTGTATTTGTGATCATGATGCTTTAGCCATTTTAGCCTGCGCTTTGGCCTCGCTATAATCTCGTTGATATTGATACGTTTTTAGGCCTGATTGATATATATTGATATTTATATTTTTTGAACAACGAACGCCATCGAATTATTGTGTTGTCTCGGTCTGTGCTAATGACCGAAAATTGTGCAGAAATTGAACAAAGGAAGACATCGCTTGTTGATAATACTGATTGAGCAACGACGTGCTGTCGCTCTTTGTCTACGGGTGGCTCAATGCGAGTTGTATCATCAGCTCTCGATTTTGCGAGAGTGGGTACCTTTTTGATGATGGGCGACGACGATGATGACTCTGGAACAAGAGAGAAGATTCTGAGCTATCTAATGAGTTGACCATTGACTGCAATTCGCTGTGACCACATAACGTTGAATGTTGCTAAAAGAAATATCTGCCGTATCCTTTGTACTAATTTTGACCAAACACCGAGGATTATTGAATGTTTCCTTGACGGCCACAGAATAGCGCTTAAAATACTGGGTCCAAAATAATAAAAGAGTTTCCAGACTCGGCGACAAAGAGAATCGATCCTTTATATGGACGTGTATACGATTGAGTTACTGTGGGCGAGTTCAAGCGAACGATGCGGAACAAGATGTTGAATCACGAAGTTGACCAATTGGATACGGCGAAGACGAATACAGGACGGGTCGATTAAGGGAATGGCGATTACCTGGCGGGTATAAGCCGAGCCTCCAATTTGAGAAGTCGGCCTGATTCCCGGCAAGGATATCATGTTTTTGTTTTTGTTTTTTTTGTTTATGGTTTATGATTGTGATACGAAAATTTGTTCTTCGAGTGGACCGATGCCGCCGAAACCTCGCGTTGATTGATAGATTGAATTTTTTTTTGAAGACGGCCGCCGCAGTGCAGATAGTCGCCTCGTTGTTCCCAAAACACAGATCGAGTCGAATTGATCCAGCTGTGCGGTTGTGCCGAAAGCTAAAACCCCCCCCTCCCTCATGAACATCCACCACATTTTAAGCCACCAAGAACAAAAACTACAAGATACCAAGCAATGACAAGAGGAAACAAGTAATTAAGAAATACAGCGTAAAAATGAAGAAATAACAAGTTATCAGGGGGAAACATCAACACAGACAGCAGTACACGTCGTATTAATTTTTGGAGTACGAACGAAAAGAGAAGTTGTCACACATTCACGGGCAGATTCTGTTAACCACAGCACATAGATTTACCTCCTGTAGCTGCGGTCATCGCGGGGATCATCACGATACCCACCATAACCTCCTCTGCCACCGCTCTCGCTGCCAGCAGGGGGAACGGCAGGCTCAGCAGCGGCAGTTCGGGAGTAACCAGGCTCACGCTCGGCATAGCTGGTGTATCCCGGCTCCCTTGGAGCGCGGCGGTCCTCACGAGTGTAGCGATCATCGCCACGGCTTGATGCATAACGATCCACGCCACGGGGAGGGGGGTAGTCATCACGGGGCTCACGAGAGCGGTAGTAGCGGTCGCCACCACGACCATCACGATCATCGTAGCGTGAAGAGTAGCCACGGTCATACTCATCGTAGCGTCCACCACGAGGAGGGTAACGCCCGCCGCCACGGTCATCATAACGTGGAGGTGGGGGTCCACGGCGGAAATCATCTATAAAAAATCAATTCGATGTTCAAAGTGTTTACAGAAGGGTGAAAGTTTACCTCTCTTGGGTGGTCCAAAGTATTTCCCTGGAGTTGGCGTTCTGGGACGGCTTCTCCTGGCCTTCTCGATGCTCAAGGTTCTACCCTCGAAGACCTCGCCTTGCAAGCCCTCCTTAGCGCCGTCGGCCTGCTCAAGAGTGGCCATCTTGACGAATCCGAATCCACGGGACTCCTTGGTGTGAGGATCCAACATGATCTGGCACTTCTCAACCTCACCATACTTGGCGAAGAGACGGGTTACGTCATCTTCAGTAAGACGAGGATGGATTCCAGTCACGAAAAGGTTGGTACCAGTGTTGGTGGCACCATCAACTGGTGAGCCGCCATTTCCGCCACGGTGACCACCGCGTTCAGACGTGTTTGACGCTGTGTCAAGAGCACGGCGGTCATCAGGTCTTGACTCTGGTGGAACGGAGCTATGTAACAAACCAGTCAGCATGATGAATAATGATGATATAAAGCTAAGAAAAAGATGATGTACCGTTCGCCCCTACCCCCAGGGGACGCGCTTCTAACGCGATCACGCCTGGGAGCCGAATCTCCGCGTCTGCCTCTAGGAGAAACAGAACGCTCGTCGCGCTGGTACTGCTCTCTGTCCTCTGTTTTTGGTTAGCTTTACGCGTCCACATTTAAATAGTTTTTTGTATGCGGGTTTAGAAAAACAAGGCTGAACGACAACAAACAACAAGTACGTGTCTGCATATTGCAAAGAAGCCGAAAGAAAGAAAAGAAAGCAATAATCATAACATACCATCGTATCCACGGCTTTCGTTTTCGTAATCCATAGTCATCAAACAGTTTAGGGGAGCTTATTTTTCTGTTTGCGTTGTACAAAGGGGTTGTTGCGGGCGAAGTAAAAAAAAATGAGAAAAAAATCGGGTTGTCTGATGGGGTATAGAGGGCGGTGGAGGTGATGAAGAAAGAAAAAAGGATGGTCTGCCCCAAGGATGAGAACAGAAGGGAGAGAGAGATGATGGAAGAATGAGAGAGGAATGCTAGGAAGGAAGGGAAGGAAGGGGGAGAAGAAGAAGAAGGGAGGCGGCGAGGGAAGGAGCGATGGGAGATGAGCAGGTGGCAAAGAAAGGGATACGATACATCCGCGTTCGCCTGCCTAGCCACCACGGCCAGGCCAGCAGCACAACCACCCTTCTTTCATTTTGGCAGGGTTGCGCCCTACGGAACGAATGCATTGCTGACTCCAATAGAAAGTGCAGTAGAATAAATGCTCATGTTTTTCTAGAAACACTTGAGCTTAAGGCAAGCAATCATGTGGGGCAATCTGCTATCTGCTGCCCGATATCAAAAACCTTAATTCCCTATCGTCTGTCTCGCTGGAGGTGCTGTTCCCTTTTGGTAGAGGGCCTTTCTCTCTGGTTGACACCCACGTTGTCAAGGAAACAATCTCGCCATTTCGAGCCTGGGAACGATATCACATTCTATTGGCATGAATACAGATAGAATGCCTTGCGATTTCTCCGACTAGATGAGGATAAAGGGGTTTTTCTTTAGGTTTCCTATGTTTGCCCCTGTTTGCGATATCCGCTGCAAGATGTGTAAATACATTGCTTGGAAGCCGCCCCACCTGTCTCCAAATCTCCTGGGGAATCGAAAGATGGGTGGGGGGGCAAACAACCAGCAGGAAGAACGGCATTTCTAAAATCCGCTTGGTTTTATCGATAACGCCGATGCCAACATCAGATCATCCCCATCAAACCATCAAAACCCAAACAGCACCCAACCTCTTGAAACTCCAAAAGCTGCCACGTTAGCCTGACTAATAAGGCTTAGTCTAGAATCTCCCAGGTACACAAGGCATATGAGATACGATAGGGTACAGCAACAAACAGGTACACCCGTGGGCGTTCCTGAAGATCAGTCCAATCGTTTTTGACGATTGAGATTTGGACCGAGACAGGAACGAACACACGTTCAGTCGTCCACTTGACAATCCACCCTCCAACCCCCGGAGTTCAAACCGCACCCCACCCCTTCGCACATGACGAGTGATAGCGGGTGAGTCTACAGTATAGCTCTGACTAGTGTTTCGTCTATTCAACAAGGCTTAGTTAGCCTTGCTGATGACGATCAAACACGCTCATCTAGGAGGAGCTCATGCGTAGTGTAAATCGGGATATGAGAAAAGTTTCTTATCGATCTTGCCAGCAGCATTTCGTGAGATGATTGGCCCCGGGAGCTCGAGTTTGTTTATTCGAGCAGAAATGGCAGCCTTATCGACTGTTACAGATTTTCTGATGCATACGTCAGACAGTCACGTCAGGTCAGGTTGTGAATTAAGGTCAACCCGGCACTTCTGATACAGCACTTCTGGTACCCGGGACTGGTGTCCAGGACCTAAACGTTTAAAGTCGCAGAATTAAGAAAGGGCCAACCTGATACAGCACTTCTGGTATCTGGGACTGGTGTCCAGGACCTAAAAGTTCAAAGTCCTAGAATTAAGAAAGGGCCAACCTGATATAGCACTTCAGGTACCCGGGACTGATGTCCAGGACCTGAACGTCCAGAGTCCCAGACTCAAGAAACGGCCAACTAGAGCGCAGACCTACGAGGTCATGCAAATTAAAAGCATTTCCCCATAAGAATATTGGGATGAAGCAAAAGCTCGAATCTTGGCAGGATGGACTTCTGTGTGGAGTGGGAAAAGTCGACAGGCACCCGCTGTTCACCACAAAACGATTAAGGATCCTCCCGCCCGCCCCCATCATGCGATATGTACATACCTCATTAGAGCGGGCCCTGACAGGATGAATCCATCTACCGTACCACGGTTTTGGGATTCCCCCGCAATTCTCGCTTAAGCTTAAGCTTAAAAGATTTTAAGATGCTCTTAATTGGCTTAGCTACGTAAATGCCCATCCCAGGTATGTCTCATCACCACCACCACATTTTTATGGACGATCAATCATTGCACAGAGCTACATATCAAAAGAAAAAAGAAAAAAAAAAAAAAAAAAAAAAAAGAACCGACTTTTGAACGCCAATAGGAAATTATCATACAAGATGCCCCACATTACTGCCAACTATTTCTCTACGGTAATCTTCTTCTTGCTCCTGCCCATGCCATTGGCACTATCCATCAACTTCCTCTTCCTCTTCCCATTCTCGTTCCTGCCCTCCTCAATGTCCATCTTGGCCATCCTCCTCTTCTCCGACACCTCCTGCAGCGTCTCCCGCACCACCCGCCCCTCAAGCGACACGCCCGGCTCATCCACATACTCCTCCATCTTCTTCCCCGTCCGCTGCTCAATCGCCTCCACCAGCTTGATATCATACTGCGTCACAAACGTGATCGCCTCGCCCTTCTTCCCCGCACGCGCCGTACGCCCGACCCTATGGATATAGTCGTCCGGGTCCCTGGGCACATCAAAGTTCACCACCAGCTCCACAACGGGAATATCAAGCCCTCTCGACGCCACATCCGTCGCCACCAAGATCCTCGCCGCCTCCGCCCGAAACCGCCCCAACGAATCCGTGCGCTCGCGCTGCGGCAGCTCCGAATGCAGCGGCGTCACCCGGTGCCCCAGCAGCTTCAGCGTATGCGTCAGAAGGTTCGCCGTCGCCGTGCGGTTCGTGAAGATGATGGCCGACTTGCCCTCGTTCCCGGGCGTGCTCAGCAGCGTGTGCAGATACGCTTCCCGCGTGTACGGCACAAGCAACATATACCGCTGCGTGAGCGTCGCGGGAATGGCCAACTTCTCCGTATCCACCTCACACACAAACACCTCCCTCCTTCCCTCGCGCCGCTCCATCTCCTTCAGCGCACGCACCTCCTCCGTGACCGTCGCCGTAAACAGCAGCGTCTGCCGCCCCGCACCCACGCCCGCCGGCGGCACCGCACCAAGACACTCCTCAAGGTCGCTCGCAAACGTCTCACTCAGCAGGCGGTCGGCCTCGTCAAGGACCACAAACCGCACCCGCCGCAGCCCGCAGACGGTGTCCTCGCCCGAGCTGCGTATGTGGTCCGCTAGGCGGCCGGGCGTGGCAATGACGATGTGCGGGCGGGTCGCGAGGGCGATGGCCTGCGCGCGCATGTCGGTGCCGCCGATGAGCAGGCAGATCTTGAGGTTCTGGGGCGCGCCGAGGGCCGTAAGCTGCTCGGCGATCTGGAGGGCGAGCTCGCGCGTGGGCGTCAGGATGAGGGCGAAGATGCCGGTGGGGTCTTCGGACCAGCGGTGGAGGATCGGGGCGGCGAAGGCGATGGTTTTGCCGGAGCCCGTGCGGGAGCCGCCGATGCAGTCTTTGCCTGTAGGGTGCGGTGTTAGCTGTAGTCCATGGAGAGTGCTCTGGAGATAGGTGTTGAGGGAATACCTTCGAGGATGGGCTGGATGCAGGCTGCCTGAATGGCCGTGGGTTTGCGGATTGCCATGGCGCCGAGGGAGTCGACGAGCCATCTGTCGATGCCGAGGTCGGCGAAGCTCTCGGGTGTTTTTGTGGAGTCGGCCATTTTGTGTATTCTGCTGCTGTGGGAGTTGCGTGCAGAATTGCGTGAGACAGGTCAATGATAGTATTTTTTTTTCATCTCGAGGTAAAAATTTGAGAGGTGCAAGTGCAAGTGCGGCTCTGCTGCAGAGCTGCGGGTTGCGGGGCTTGGCTGCCTAACCGCAAGCGGGCAGGACTGGGAGCTTCTCGGGGAGAGCAGAGAATCTGGTATGGCAGTTGAGTGTGCATAGCGGTCATGGCAGCCTGCTTGCGATGCTTGTTTGCATTCTACACTGTTCTAGAAATAGACTCTGCGCATGGCAGAGAAATCCACATGCAATCGTAGCAAAGGGCAGAGCTGTGCCCTTGGGGCGTGTGTTTCACATGTGTGGCAGAGTGCATACACGTGCTCAGCCACACAGCGCCGATGCCAAGCAGCCGTCCTCGTCTCTGCAAGGCCTGGCTGTCTCTTTCTTGCTTCTGCTGCTGCCGTCTCCAGCTTTTCTTACATCACGGTGTTTGTTCTGCTCGACGTCTTCCTCTGCTGCTACTGCTGCTGCTGCTGAATACAATACAATCGTCCAACACCCCGCGTATCAGCATCTCCAGGCCCAGGTCGTGTCTGTCTCGCCAGGTTTGCCGCCCCCCTCCTCCTCCTGCTCCCCACGTTCTGTTCTCCTGAGCGAGCCCTCGGCTTCTCTGTCCTTCCGCTCTGCCCGTCCCCCACCACAGCACAAGTCCACAAGCAAGGCAAGCGAGCAAACAGCCAGCTTGCGTCACTCGCCCTCGCCCTCGCCCTCGCCCTCGCCCTCGCCCTCGCCCTCGCCCCGCCCTCGCCCTCGCCCCGCCCTCGCCCTCGCCCTCACCCACAACCCGCCCATCTCCATAGTAGTAAACACCAAGCTAACCTACCCGCCCCACAGCCCGTCACTCAGTCCGTATACATCCCATCACCACAACTCACTCACCCACCACAAACAGCCACCATGTCCAACCACCCCCTCGACACCGACCCGGGCTCCGAGCTGCTCGCCTCCTACGAGGCCGACTTCAAGCTCACCCAAGCCGACATCTCCCAAAAGCTCGACCAGATCCCCGACCTACAGGGCGAGCCCCGCAAGGCCGCCATCCGCGCCGCCGAGCGTGCCGTCGACGAGGCCGACGAGATCGTATGTCCGCCCACTCCCACACATAAAAGTGGAAAGAAAGAAAAAAAAAAAAAAACTAACCTAGTAAATTGCAGATTGGCCAAATGACCCTCGAGCTCTCCAACATCCCCTCCACGCTCCGCAACAAGATCAAGCCGCGGCTCCGCAACTACACGCACGACCTCGACGTCTCGCGCTCCACGCTGCTCAAGCTGTCGCAGAACAGCGACCGCGCCACGCTCTTCAACGGCCGCGGCGGCAGCGGCGCGGGGGGCAGCGGCGGCGACGCCGTCGTCGACCAGCGGCAGCAGCTGCTGAGCGGGACGGACCGCATGGAGAGGTCCTCGCAGAGGCTGAGGGACAGCCAGAGGCTGGCGAATGAGACGGAGGGCATTGGCGCGAGCATACTGGGCGATCTGTATGCGCAGAGGAGCCAGATTGAGAATACGCATAATACGCTGAATGATAGTGAGCGCTACTTGGATAGGAGTATTAAGACGCTGAGGGGGATGGCGCGTAGGTGAGATTCTATCCTTTTTTTTGGGGGGGGGGGGGCGGGCTTTGTGTGTGGAGCAGAGTGGGATTGGGGAGAGAGGGCTAATACGCTGTGTGTGTGTGTGTGGGATAGGATGGCTACAAATCGGATAATTACGATTGCGATCATAACGGTGCTTGTGTTGCTGATTATGGCGGTTATTGTGTCAAAGTTTCGTTAGGGGCGTTACAGGGTGTTTTTTGTAGGAGTTTGTCTTGTTTTATTATTAGTATTTTTTTCATCTGCTTCTGCTTCTGCTTCTGCTTTTGCTTTTCTCTATCTCTCCCCGTACGTGCGTGGGTTCTAGTAGCTCTCTAGCAGATTCGGTCCGGGATTCGAAGTGAGAAGGCGGTGACCCTGGATACTTGGTTTGACTTGATCTTAAGCTTGAGTTTGGGAGTTTTCAACAACCTTTTGTTTTCCCCTTCTTCTGTTCTGCGGGCTTGCTTTTTTTTTTGCTTGTTTGTGGATGTTTATATATTGAAAAAGAAAAGGAAACATACCAGACGGTGCTTTTTTGATTGTTTCCTTTTTTGTGATAGATATAGGCTCTACTGGATACTACAAGTATGTACCTACATGTGGGTGGGTACTTGTATAGGTTTATTTTCGGTATATACTAGTATACCGTCAACAAAAACCAATAGTGGCCCTTTTTTTTTCGTTTATAACCTCTTTAACCTTCACCTGTAATTTTTTTTATTTTATTCTTTTGATAGTGACCGTGACGTCACTTATTTGGAGATCAATAGCAATTTAATACATAACAAATGGAGCTTCGTACATCATTTCCAGAACCGGGAGACGCATTACCTACCCAGCCAGACCTTTCCCTTTTTATTTCACGGCCCACACTACACCTCACAACCCAAAGACAGACACACCACGAAAAACCCAGCCCACATTATTAGCCCGGCTGGTCAGGATCACTATCATCATCCTTCTCCATCATCTGCGTCTTCTCCAGAATCTTCTCCAGCCGCTCCTTCAGCTCGGCGAGCTTCGCCTCCTTCACGACCAGGTGGTCCTCGTCGAGATCCTCCACGATGAAGGCGTGGTGGTGGTCCTCATCGATCTTGAGGATAATGGCTTTGATTGAGGGGTCGCTGTGATGGTGGTTTGTTAGTCAGATCTGCGAGGATGGAAGGGGTAGAGAGTGGGGTGGGGTGGGGTGGGGTGGGGTGGGGTGGGGTGGGGTATAGTATAGACCATTCGACCAGGACACCTGTGGTGGAGAGAGAGAGTGTGTTAGCTATATGAGGTGCGATCAATTAAGCTTCATCAGAGAATACACATACCTTTGACCGCGCGCGGCATTTTGGTCGCGATGTATGAAATTGTGGGACGCGATTCTTGGCGGTCGCAACGCGTCAAGAGTGTTTTATCTAGAACTAGAGTGTTTTTTTCTTTGGCAGTGGCGTTACTCTTTACCTTGACTGAAGTTCGTGACCGTCGTCGTCGTCGTCGTCGGAGGTGAAATTGGGTAAGGAAGCATGTATGTGTGTGTGTGTAGTGTGTTGCTATATTTAGCCTCGACTATTAGACTGCCGAGTGATTCTAGGTGATCCCGGCCACCGCCCTAAATGGGTCAAGATCTGAGAATTATGAGGGGGGGGGGGTGTACCAACCGGTGCAACTGGCCGATCTGGGTTTGTTGCCGCATCGATCACTGACTGCAAGGTACCAGATCATTGCTGCATAAGCAGATCTCGTGATATAATGGAATGTATTGAGGCGAAAGAATATGTCAACTGTAAGTTCTATCAAATTCGGCCGGCCGCGGGCCACAGGGTATATAAAACCCCAACACAACCCAGATCCGCAGTGTAGTCTACGAGCCACGCGAGCCAGCTCGAAGTTTAGGCTCGAGCTTCTGGCCCATTGAAAACAAGCCTCACCCAAGATGGCTCAAGACTTTTGTCTTGATTCAGGATCTTAGGCTCGAACTAGGTTGTTGGACTAAATATTAATCCAGGTTTGAATTGATATTTGAAAGGCCGGCGCCAAGACGTACCGGAAAGACCTAAGCCTGTTAATGTTAACCACTGTTGCACCAAGATAGTGCTTGATTAATACAGGTGCGGCAGAGTGTTCTTGTGGAGTAAAAGAGACGCTGTGAGGTGAAGTCCGACTCTTAAGGAGATACAACTATGTGAGTGATAAATTTTTTGCCGATAGTTCCCTGATACTGTAACAATGCTCAGGACCTGAATGTGTAATGGCAATTAATGTGGCTCACGAGAGAAAGCATGCTTATTTAGGATATAGATACATGAAGTATTCTTGGCCTCAAACGGACTTCAAGATTTAGTAGCCCTCGGATATGCAAGTATCTTTCAGGCCCCACAGAAATTATTGGAGCTTGTTGGTGTTTTTTCCCCCCCCTTCTGACCAGGTAGGAAGGGCGATTGCGTAGAAATTTCTATTTCGGACGGAGCTTTGTGTGTTTATGGATTTGTGATTGTTGGTTGACAAATCTATATTGCCGATTGAGTATGATGCTTCGAGACATCTCGAGGCGACTTTCTTGCCTCGCCTCGCAAGCGAGCTTATGGACTGCGTTCAATGTTCTTAACAGGAAGGAAGTCTCGAAACCCGTTTGAAGTTTAAGTACAAGTAGCACGCCTCAACAGCCCCAGACCGGCCACAACAGAACAGGAATACTGGGAGGGGTGGTGGTGGTTGTTGGATCATGGCTACTCACTCGATACATTTTAGCATGTCTCGAGACGAGTGTTTTTTTTTTTTCTTTTTTTCTTTTTCTGTTTAATTCATTAATTGCATGCAACCTCTCGAGACGAGTCCGACTAGGTCTTCTCCCCTTCTCAAACGGCCTCGCCGAGAACATTAACCTCGCTAGACTTTAATCATGATTCGCAAAGCCTCGGCGTCATAGACACCCCCTAGCGCAAGAACGGCTAAGTGCACAACACACCAAATGAACCGGACCCGACTACATGTATGTCTTCTGTTCTAGTCACATCGTTGGTTTGGTCTACACATAAATTTTCCTGGATAGACTGGGCCATCTATGACTAAACCGGTCAGTCCACCGGATGACCGTGGTAATGGCTCGCCCGCCCATTCCCGGGCAGCGGAGCTAATGAGGCCAATAAAAGACTTCATAGGCCCGTCATGTGGACCAAGGCTTCTGATAGAGCTCCTTGGGAAAGAGCCTGTGATTATTATGGAATTGTAGTTGTTCGAGCTTATTAAATGAACGCACCTATCTGGTGAATGATTCTGGACGGCTGGACTAGAACACCCTCTTCCATTGGCCCCCTCCACGGTGGCTTCTATCCCCCTAGCACAGGCGAACTCCTGAACATAGTGCGGTACTTATTTAGTAGGATTCTAGAGAGAATCAAAGACCCAACCACTGCTGCTCGCGGAGTAGGTATATACATATATGTACACACAAGAGGGTGGCCAGTGGGTCGTGGTGGATTGTGATCGTAGGGTTAGGTATTCCCCTAGCTAGCTCACGTTGCCCTCACTCCCTTAAGTATTACTTCCCGGCCTTTGACAGTTGTGTGGGCGGGTGTAGTCTAAGGTAGACAGCTCGTCTTGCATGAACACCGAGTGGGTTGAGTCCCCATGACCATCAGTAAGTAGGTCATGGGTTCAATCCCGGGGGTGGGAGTATCTGTGGGGTGTATATCATATACCGGGAAATGTAGCCCATTATATTGCAGTACTGTATTGGGTAGATAGCCCCGCGAAGGGTATATGGCCACAGCATCACTTTTTGTAAATTTATTGCCCTTTTTTTTTTTGTTGTTTTGGAGCTTATTGGGTGGCCTGAGGGCCTAGTGATATCGATCAGAGCTCTCTCTGGCCGGCCTACAATCGTAAATTGAAATATCTTAGCTTCTCGCTCATTATTTGGCCAATTGGTCTCCCCCATCCATGGTCAGGGCTGGATGTAGTAGGATTAGGCCGGTTTATAATTACATAGCGAAACTTCTTCAGACCATATCCTTTTATAGTATAGTAGATGTAAGTACATGTAGATACTGTCCGAGTCACCCTCTTTTTGCCAAGACACAATCAATATGCAGTCGCTTTCTTCAAAGGTATTCGGTGAGTGATAGCGGTCGACCTGGTTTCTTTATACACAGCTAGCCAATTTATCGTGTCTGTACTCTGGCTCTTCCTCAGCTATGTTGTCTTCTTCAACGGTGTTCCCCTCAAGGTTAGGAGATGTAGACATTAACAGGTCAGCAGCGCGCATGCGTGCGTGTTATGTGTTGCTAGCCAGATTTACGATGGGGTTGTTTCCAGTCAAGTTGGAAAATTGACTTCGGGTACCTATGTACATGATTTTCGCAGATACAGAATTTCTCACTCGATGGGTGAGTGATTTTCCATGACCCAGTATCACAAACTCAGCTAGCCCCCACCCTCAACCGCCGACCCCACCAATGAGACTTCTCGAATTTTCACTTTCATACATAGCGGCGATTATTTGGAGTAAGCCGTTCTTTGAACTAGTGCTTTATACGTATTTCTATGTTATAGCTATCGTACACTGGCTCAGAACAGACAGGAGGTAAAGGAACAACAAAAGGGAAATCATGAAGCACCGGCCCAAAAAAAACAAGAAGCAGGAAAGGGAAGGGAAAAAAAATCATTACTATCTATCTCTATCACTCTCTATACCTTCCCCACCCTAACTACTAAAGCGCCCGCGTTCTTCGCAAGCCGCTCCGCATGCATCTTCTTGATCCACCTGAAGAGCAGTATGAACATCAGTTCCATCCTATCCCCACCATCAAAGTTAGCATTTCATACACAAAAAAACTAACCCAGGGAAAAAAGAGCAAACATACCTCTCCTTCGTCATCATTAGTAAACCCTGCACAATCAACCCCTTCATCAACTGTGGTCCAATCCCCTTGAACAGCCCCATCGGCCCTTCCTTCTCAATGATAAACTTCATCACCTCCCCAAAGCTTCTAAAGCGCTTCCTGTTCGCAGCAGGCGGCGGCCTACTCTGCAGCCCAACCTTGGCAACAATCAACGGCTGTGTCGCCAGCGTCGCCAACGACTTACTCATCGCACCGAGCAGGAACGCCTCACCGGGCGACAAGCGGTCCCGGCCCTTAAACATGACCTCCTTGAGCCTCTGGTAGCACCCGTAGGTGATTGCCGGGTTGACGACGAGCACCAACGACGCCTTGAGTCCCCTCCACAGCCCGCTCATCCCATCCTCCGCCACGACCTCCCGCCCAGTCGCCAAGAGTCCCAACGGCTCCTCGGAGGAGGGCCGCGTCTGCTGCCGGGTGGTGATGACGGCCACGGGGATGGTGAACAGCTGTGCGAGTGCGCCGGCGACGGCGCCGAGCGAGAGCTCGATCGCGGTAGACGGGTGTGCGGTGCCGCTCCGCTTGAGGTAGAAGGTGCGGACGAGCGTGTACCAGTAGAAGTATGCAAAGTTTGTTGAAGCGACGCCGAGCAGCGCGCCGGTCATGCCCGTGTAGAGGCCCTTCACGCCGGATTTGGCGGCGATCTTTGTGATTGCGTCGAGCGTCGAGCTGTAGATTTCTTCATCGGGGCTGTTTTGGGACTTGGTGTTAGAAACTGGGCTGTTATACTCTGGGGCGGAGGTTAGTTTGGGGGAACAAACTGGAGGGGTTCGGTCTTCTCGTCGGTGGGCTGGCGTTTGACTTGGACCTGGAGCTTGGTCTTGACGCTGTGATGGTTTTGTCAGTGATTCTGTCGAGGCAATTGGGGATACAACGACCTACATGTCCAATGGGTAGACAGCGGCATTCGCGAGCACAGCACCAGTAGCACCTGCGATGGCATAACCCCACGAGGGCAGTGATTCCTTGGAGAGCGACATTCTGGCTCTATATTGGTCCTTCTACACGAACGAAAGCGACTGGGAAAGGCAGGTAGACAATCAAGCAAGAGGAAACACACAGCACAGGGAACAGAAGACAGAACAGAGGAATAAGAGGAAGGGAATGCGCAAGTGAGCAAGAGGAACGGAACAGAACTGACTCTGACATGCAACACCAAGTTCAAGTAGGATGTAGACACCAGAACCGTTCCTTGTTCCCGAGCTATCCCCAAGACTTTTGCACTGTCCTGGCTTGTGCGTGATGCCTCGGTTGTTTTCGGTGATACACTGCTATCTGTGGCGCCGCCCACCTGGGATGCCGATAGGGTACGTGACGTGACGCCCAACTAACTATCGGTGTGGCGGCGCGTCGTGGCGGGGGGGGGGAAGCTTGTCAATAGGTAATCGCTGTTTCAGATCTGTAGACAACAGTACTCACCGGTATCGTTGCTGGAGTTCCCCATATTATATCTGCTGCTTCCAATTCCCATGTCATGTCATGTCACAGCACAGCAATCAATGTACTACTCGTCCTACCAGCCCGCCCCCGCGGTAGCTTCGGCCCGAGGCTTCCCCGCGCGTGGACGAAGGGCTGGTGCCGTACCGGGGGTGTCGGTGTTGAGGCTGAATGCATTCTTATTTTTCTTATTTCTTCTGGGCCTTATCTATGATGACGTTTTTTTGGGTGTGATTGTGCATGTGGGGGTTGGAAATGATCGTTTGGCCTCGTTTACGAGCGGACAAGGATCGCGTAGCTGCATATAAGAGTTGGAGGCTTTGATCTCGACTCCAAGTTAGAGACGAGACAGAAAGGCAGCTTGATAATTCCAATTTCCAAGAGAAGGAAGCTGAGGATCGAGAGATGTTGAAACTCTGCAGCCGCGAGCTGGACTAACTGCATTTTGGGCTGTTAAGCCACGTCTCTTTTCCGTTAGCGTAGAGCTACAAATACATACTGTTCACAAACAATCACTACAATACCTGTAAATTACTACATGTATTTAGAAAGAAAAATGTTAAAGTCACACGAGCGTGAGTTGGCTGAAAGGGAATACCTAAAGCTAACGCGAGAAAGAGAGAATCAATTAGTCGAAAGAGTTTATTAAAATTATATAAAAATATCTTATTTATAATTACTTAAGAGAAGAAGAAGAAAAATGCTACAAAAAACCTAAAAGTCACGCATACGAGAGAAGGAGAGAGAAGAAGAGAATCAGTTAAACTTTATCTCATTTCTATAAATAACCCTAACCCTAATTTTAGGGCTATGGGCAAAACCATAATGATAACTGCTCCCCACAAGAAACGAATTTCAAATGGGGTCACCCGGGGATGAACACAGTGCAACAAGAGGGAGAAGAAGGGGAATGGGGAACCACAGCATTATATACTGATGGGGAAGGACGCCAAGGCTAATTTTTCGCCGACTGTAGAACTGGGTAACAGCTCTGAGCACACCTGGCTAATTGGGGAAGGACGCCAAGGCTAATTTTTCGCCGACTGTAGAACTGGGTAACAGCTCTGAGCACACCTGGCTAATTGGGTTGGGCTTGGCTGAGGTGGTGTGAATATGCTAGAGAGTGTCTTTGGATACATTTAGTTACCAGAGCTTGGGCATTTGTCGTTGTCAAGAAAACTTTGTTGTCTTTTTGAATCCGGGTCAAATATTGTGAGTTGTCAAAACTACATGTAAATTAATTTCTAGCCCTGGTTATGGAATGGGATACCACACATGTACAAACAAAAGCGCTTGGCCTTATAATATAAATATACACAGAATACCAAAAATTGCCGTCGATGAGTTATGATCACTGGTGGGTTGTTTCTTGAATAGGTTTGGGAGTCGTGATTCAATGACTTGCTTGGTCACGTCATGGAAAATCACTCACCCGCTAGATCACAACCTTGATCAGTAACCGAATCTCAAACGGAGAAAAACACAACGCCCAGCCTTAAATTCTCACCCCCCACTTTTTCTCGTGCCTTTGTAACTACCAAGGTGTTTTTATCGCAAACCTTCAAATAGTCTTATGCATCTAGTGCTTGACCTTCCTAAAACCAAAGAAAGAGAAAGAAAAGCCGGGAAAGCATACCAGGACTTGACCCTTAATTCGAGCTACCAACAAAGTCTGAATTCCGGGACCCTCTCCCCCGGCCACAGACGCCGCGTCTACCAAGTCATGATACTATGGAGACTCTTCTGGTTGAAGCCTTTACTACAGTATCCATAGCCACCAGAGAGCTGCTCATGGGTCGCAGTCTGCGACACTCTCAAGCTAACAGCCACATAACTTCATGCTAAGAACCCTTACAAACACGTGTATGCACAGAGGCTTAAACATTCGAAGCTACAAGGACGTGCTTTAAAGTACATGTGGGTACCGTAGGGCTTCTTTACCTGCATGGTCCGCCTTGTGGTCGTTCCACCTCCTCGCCAATTGCAAGGAAAGGTAATGTAAATGAAAGAGGCGAAGTGGGCGTCTGTTGACTCGGGAGACCCACCTTAGCGGATAAGACTTGGCTACGTCTATATATCTGCCGATATAGTAGCTCCGTTCTTCAAAACCCAAGAGGATCTTTGCAATATAATAAGCCCTCTCGAACCAGATTGCGAAAAGCGCGTGTAGCTAGCTGGACTAAGGTTTCTGCGAGATTAGTCAGGAGTACAGATTCAAGCGATCATCCTATTTTTTAGAGTATTCCGTAGTCCACCTTCGGAATAGGATACAATTACAGTCTAATGTATGTCTGGTGGGGGTTGGGTTGTGTTAAGGTGTTGATATGTTGCAATTGGCTCTGAAACTTTGCAGATCTTAATATTTGGCCAGCGTTGTTCCCAAAATAGTAGCAGCGCCTACTGACTCGCTGGGCCCGTTCAACAATCCATGGAATTAACACTAAGGGGGATCCTATTGTTAGCCGCCATAATCGCAGTATATATTGCTGTTCCCTCAAAACGATGAGTGAAACTATTGTTTCCTGTCTCTGGCATATTAGCTCCTACCCGCCCAATGCCAGGTAATTCGAGACTCACTGACTGTGCCGGTACAGAAAAAAGCAAACCATGAATTCCTCCAACACCTCCTTCGGGGCCGATTCTGGCAACGACCTTGAAGCACAAAACAAGCCACTCCCTCTGCCGCGTACCCGTACAGTTGACATCCATCGCTGGTCGACGATCCCGGTGCCCGTAATTGAGAGATGGCCCTCGGCGCCCGACACGATCCCGAGCGACTGGCTCGGAAAGGTGACCAGTGTGCTGATATCGCTGACGCCGATACTGTTTTTGGTACTGGCCGGTTTTGCGTATAAGCTGGATGGGATGCCGGTTTCAAAGTTTGGAGAGCAGGTGATGAAGGCAGCACAGATTGTATGTTGTTTTGGTTGAATGCTGTATTGGTGGTTGCTAATTCTGTATTGATAGGGAACCACGGTATACCCAATTGTATTTGCAGCAGTCCTAGGAAAAACCTTCAAGTCCGCCGCCGGATGGCTCGTCGAACGGGGAACAACAATCCGTATGCTGTAAGTTACCCGCTGCTGCTAGATGCTGCTCCTCCAACTATCACTCGACTGGTACTAACTATGGTACTGTAACTAATGTAGCGAGCTACTAATGGGCAGCCAAAGTCTTGGCGGCGCACTCCAGTCCCATTTCACGATAATCCGCACCATAAAAACGATTCCATTGAGTCTGTTCATGCTTTTGATTTGGCTTCTTTCGCCTCTGGGAGGCCAGGCTTCGCTGCGCTTGCTCAGTACTTCTGGGATTGAGGTGGATGGTGCGATAAGGTATTTGGATACATATTGGCAGTCAACGAGGATCCAGTGGCAGACCTTTCCGATTTATGTCTATGACTCCGTGTATCAGGCTATTCTGGTGACGCACACCGAGTCCCAGCAGTCGAGTATGGATGTTTGGGGAAATGTTAAGGTTAGTTCTTAATCCTCTTGTACTCGTGGTGCAGTCCGATATAGTACAAGTGCATGTATTAACTATATATTTGGTGGATATAGATACCCAAGCTTGAGTCTCTCAACCAATCAACTTCGGATATCGACGGCTGGGTACAAGTGCCCAAGAACCAGAATCTATCCTATATCTCTCTAATCGGGGTCTCCATGGCCGGAACAGAGCTCGTCAAACAAACTTCCTCAAACTTCACGATCCAGTACACCTACTTCAACTGGGACTGCACAAAGCCCGACAATCTGACCATCTCTGACCCCTGGTTTGCCGAAATCGGAATTAACGTCACCAACACACTTAACCTCAAGGTGCAGCCATACCGATCGTCCATGTTTGTGAGAATGCCAACAGTCAGGAGGAGGGTAGGATTAACGTACCTAGATCCCGCGAGATTCCTCTACGTATCAAGAATCAACGAGGGGGACTCCGTAGACTACCCAGGTATCTCCAACATCTGGAGGTGGGTCACGACCTCGGTTTGCAACGTTACAGAGGCCCATGTCGAGGCCGAGATCAGCTGTGCTCCTAAGAACTGCTCCGTCACCAGACTGCGTCCCTACGTTACTATTGCCCAGCGCCCCGCCACCCATATGGCCCTCGACGGAACTGATGATTCAGTCATTACCGGCTTCTCCGAAACCAACCGCCAACCAACGCCGTGCGCTATACGATCTTCGCAACAGCCACCGAGCGCTTCATCCAGGACCCCGACACTGTCACGCGCATTTCAAACTACGACATTGAGCTCGCCACTGTTTCTGACGGCCTTCTAGCCAGTATCTCTTCCCTCTCGAAGGAGACCTTCGAAACCAGGTTTGGCCTTGCCTTCAACTCCTACTACACCGGGACCCTAGCACCCAGCTACATCGCCGGTACACCACCGCCATTCGATGAGTTGCCCGCCTTCAACAGTTCGAATTCGACCTACCTTACCCAGCCCTCCTTAGCAGAAAAGAGATTGTATGACGACACACTCACGGGGCCTCTGGCAATGAGGCTGCCGAGCAACCACATGTTTTTTGCGCGCGAGACGTCCACAAAATTTGTGTTTCAGGAAGAGAAGTATGTCTGCGATAAGACGTGGCTGTGGATTCTGGTAGCAACGACGGCTGTGCTGGTTATAGCGGCACATCTGGGCACGTACTTCAAGTGCATGAGTGTTGCGCCAGATATTCTGGGGAGTGTGTCGAGTTTGACGAGGGATAACCCGTATATTCCATTACCTGGGGGTGGGTGTATTCTGGAGGGAGTAGAAAGGACAAGGTTGTTAGCGGGGTTGGAGGTCAGGGTGGTTGATGTAAGGCCAAGTGAGGAGGTTGGCCATATTGCGTTGTCCTCGTTGAAGGACGGGGTGAAGCCATTGGTGAAGGGAAGATTGTATATGGACTCATGAGAAAGTATGCATGTGTATATGTGCGTGTCTGTATTGATTTACAGGTAATAATGATAATTAGAGATGTGGTGTGGTACCGGCGGGGCCGAAAAACATGTGGGTTTTTTGCACATATATTGTATTATAGTATTAAAATTAGTAGATAGATGTACTTAGGCCTGTGACCGCTGCTTTGAAGTGTTCTTTATTCAATTCTGAATACAAGTTTCTTTTTGTTGCTTACATGCATGTGCACGTTCTTGGCTTGGCTGCGTGGTATATTCATGAATTATCACTCGGCTCACAGAGATTATTTTTTTTTTGTTTATTCATTGTACTAGACCTTATGGACTGTCTATTCTATACCAAGGGCTTGGGAAAGCTTTCCTTGGGGATATCTGGCTTTCCTTTCTGACCCAAGCCTATTTTTATTCGAGTTCGGCCTATTAGGTTCGACTGTTGTGGGTGCCGGTACTTTTTCTTAGTTGCGGAGTAAATGACTTTCCAATGTATAAGATCTCCTCACCTACTTGTAAGACCCGAAAATCAAGAAGGGGGGGAAGAGAGCTTCATGATGGGATTTGAGCCCAGTGTTCCATACCCTCGAAGAGAGGACTGTTAATGTTGTGACACATTAAGTGAATATTTTGACGGCTTGATAGTGAATGAGATTGCAACAGTAAGAATCCAAGTCCTATATCTTGAGACAAGATGGTAAGGTTGATAGAGGTCGTTCTGTAAGCTGAATATGTCCTAGACAGAAAGAAAAAACCCATGATACATCGAGGATCATTTTACAATGATACCATAATCCCTGGCCAGAATTACACTTGTGCTCGTTTATTTGAAGATCCGTGGTAGACAAACATTCCCATACATCGTCACCTGTGAGGCGACCTAAAAAGTCCAAGTTGAAATACCCATCAAAGATATATATCTCCTGCTTATCTATGTGCACAGTTCCTTTTTGTGCAGGGGATTTTATATAGAACAGGGACCCTTTCCCGGTAGGTATTGAATCTGTCCGAATTGCTTCGAACCCATCGAGCCCATGAGGCATCCTTGAATAGGGAATGGCAGGGCTTCGATGGAGTAGAATCATCTCGAGGCAGTTGCCTCATTTACCTCAAAAGTCCTGATGAACCACCCTAAATTTTGCAAGTATTATGGCTTTATGGGTTTCGATTGAGTCCAGGACATTTTTATGAAGTAAGCGGAACGCCTGTCCCCTCTCACCCTCTCTGTAGGTATATCTGGGACTTTTATTTTAGCTTCTGGCGATCTTAGAGAATTTAAGCAAGTCTTTGCTTTCTTTAGGTATGTTTGGCTTGGTTTATATAAACCATATGCTGAGTAGAATAGAAAGGATGGTCTCTCCAGAACCCGCCATTATATGTTGCTGCCGATGCTGGTGACAATGACGATGGCTAAGTATATGTACCTATAATCAATTCGTGTTGGTAAATATGGTGGGAATTAGCGATATGGGTTCTGGTGACGTGGATAGTGGGTTGATGGTAAAAATAAGCCTAGGACTTATGTCCCTATCATGATGGATATTACGATGACTTTGATGGCTGATGATGTTCAGTAGTTTGGTGGTTGTGTTGGTGAGATGCGGAAGTGGAGGGGTGAGGTGAGGTGTGATGGTAAGTGGGGTGGGACATACGCTGCGCACCCTAAAGTTGGTGCTAAGAGAGTGGCTCTTGCTCACAGATCTCTTTATCCCCCCTATCAACTGATTGATCTCTCACTAAAATTGTGACCCACGAAGGGATAGCGGAGAAGGTTTCACCAGGCAAAGCTTAAAATTTCATACAAAGTTTAAGATTTTCAACTCAAGACTATGAACAGCTAAAGGATTAATTACTTAGCTGGAAGGCCCTTGAGCGACATCAAATTACGAATTCATATAGATCTACAGCGAGAGTATCCCGCAACCTCCTTGTCACGAGTGATATCTCGTGATTCGGTCAAACACTCGGTGTTTTTGTACTTAACTCATGCCCCCCGCGCCTCCCGCAAAAAATGGTTAAAAAGAGTGATCTTTTGGATCGTCTACTACTCATACCAATACACTAGTATAAGGAATACAGGACATTATATATGCAACGGAGGCGGATGGGCTAAACTCGGGGCAAATCTTAGGAGCCCGACCTTAATTCCGAGAGCTCCTAGTGTTCTCGCCATTAAATAGAATCCAACTAAATTCATAACCCAGTCTCTTCGCTGAAGAAAGACCTTGGTTTGAATAGGAAAGGAGAATGTATTCTTCGATCACAGGAGAAAGCTCCTCGCAAGATCATCTAGTTGGTAGGATAAAAAGGAATAAATATTGAATCTGGCGCTGGTAGTATTGTTCAATCAAGGAAATTTGTATCGTTACTAGAGGAAAAATCCCTAGATAGACGATTTCGTGTGCAAAGATAACCCCAAACTACTCTCCATCAGAGGAAAAGCTTGATATTCAATCTGGGTGACATCGTCGATTTTTCTTCATGGATTATCACTCGGTCACTTGGGAGTTTCGTTTGCCGATTTATGGCTTAGAGCCCAGGAAGATATATCTGATCGTGACTATCAGTCACTATAGTGTAAGTAATAACTGTTGTAAGTGACTGGGTACATATTCCAGTCTGTTATTATAAGGGTTATATAAATATAAGGCCCTTTATCCACACATATGTACATGTACTTGTAGTCAATTAAGCAACGACGTATGTATATTTTTTGCCTTGACATATTCTATCTACAAATTTCGTTGTCCGAGGTGTTTTCCTATGATTCGGCTCTTCTAGGGCTTACTTTAAACCTTTGAGTACATACACCTGGCTTGTCACGAAGATTAGGCTTTTGTATAATGTGACGTGCTGGAGACGTCAGGCAGCTGGCAAGACGACACATATGGACCAATAGTTAGAGTGCACGCGCATAGACCGCATGTGATCATGGATACGTGTTGCTTTCTCTTGACTCCGAATTCAATATACATACATATTCCCATTCTCTTCTCTCTGGGTAGCACGCGCTGATTCATAATCTTCAGAACACGGTGCAATCTTCAGCATCTTGAACCCGTCATACTGATTCGACGGGTAGAAAAAAGTCGATGAATAGGGTTTCACTGCACCGTGCACCACAGAAGCAGTCCTGGGTAACGCAAATCAAGGCGGATAATAAACACAACCCATAAGAAGTGCTACTATCTCGGACACCGTACCGTATTAATGAATTAAACAAAAAATCTCGGACACCGAGTGATGCACGATGCGCCAAGAATGCAAGACCGCCCCACATGATTATACCTGGGGTATGCATACCCGAGCTTTCCGATCTCCGGAAGAAATGCAGTCGCTTCCAGAGTAGGTACTGTGCAACAAGGAATATCAACTCCATACATGATTCTGCATCCAAGCAGACAGGAAAAGGTACTTAGGTACATAGAAATTGAGGACTATTCCGGCGCGAACCAATAAAGAAGGATAGAGCTGCGTTGGAAAAGACCAGTGGTCCTCATCTAAGCCATCGCTTAACGGCTTCTCTAATTAGGCATCAAATTGCTTGCCTGAGTTGCCTCCTTCTCCTCTGAGCAGGTAGTGGCGTGGACGCGTCGTCGTTGACTCCACAGCCACATCACTGAATCAGTGGGGGACACGGAGATTAGCCAAGCTGGGCGATAGCGCCTTGTCGAGAAGGTGGCGGCGTATCGATAGCAAAACGTCAGTGTGTCTAGCTGTTCGCTGCCAGTAAAGAACGAATAGTTAGGTACCCCAGGTTACACCGTAGCACATAGCTTGGGGCACATGAGCAGGTGGGAAACTCCTTTTACTTACGCCTCTGACACACGTAAGGAAGTACCTATTGTAAATAATATGGCAAAATACAAAAACAAAGGAAGCAGGATAAAAGAAATCAGGTTCCGGAATCAGGCCGCGGTACTTGCCTATCCCTATATCAAGACGTGATCGCATTGTTGAGCTGGTGGGCTTCGTTACCCCGCCGACAACAGTACTTTACGTTAGCGGAGCTCTCCACGGTATGCGCTACTACGCCTTGAGTGTTTGTCCGTCGACTTAAAGTCTCAAAGTCTCTTGGCTCCTCCTCCCTTGCTTTTCCTCCTCCCTCTCCCATATCCTCCTCGTTGCTTTTATTTTCACTCCTACCCTCCGCTCTTCTCGTCTCCTCTCTTCCCTTCCTCATCTCATTACTCCCGCTGCTGCTGTTACTGTTGCTGCTGCTGCTGCTGCTGCTACCAACCGAGAATAGTCGAGGCTTGTCCAGTAACCAGTTGCTTGCCTGCAACTCACCACCACTCTCCCTGACATCATTCTTCACGGACGTGTCAGAAATCGGACTCGCCACCAGCAACAAAAAAAAAAGAGTAGAATGCCTGCCAAAATTATCTTTATTGCGGCCACGGTCATTGTGGTTGCCGGAATCGTAGTATACGACAATCGCGAACATGTTTACGAGTTCGTCGACCGGACCCGTCGAAAGGTCAAAAATTCGCTACATGCTCTAGCACAAGAGATCAACCCACAAAGAGAACCTATTCCCATGACAAGCCGTGGGCCATTTTCCGAATCCTACAGGGAAAATGAGGGCGAGAAAGAAAGACCGTATAACGAGGAAAGATCCGAGGGAGGAGAAAAGTCGTTTACCAAGGGAGATGAGGCCTATGGTTTTGCCTCTTCTTCCAGCAGGGAGCAATATCACAATGGATATCATACTCCCTCAGCTCACGTCAGACATCGTGGTCAACAATTCGGTACCATGCCTGAAAATCTGGTAGTTTTTGACGCAGCAACAGAATCGTCTAGAATGTCCACTCCCCACCTCGATCCTGTATCTCGCCGCGGTTCAACCGAGACCCTTCAACTCGAGAAGCCACTTCCCCAAATGCCTGCCGAGCCTCCTGCTTTGCCACCCAAGCCCCAATCACTTGCGGTCCAGCCGTCTCTCGAGCTATCTGTGATCAGTGATCCCTTTGTCGATGTCGCAGAAGTCCAGGAGGCTACCGAGCCCATCGAACAGCAAAAGGCAGCTTCGTCCCGAACAGTTTCTTCTGGTGAAGATCAAGAGGATGTTTCTAACCCATTTGAAAGCTCTCAACCATACTGGAGCATTCATGAATGGGCCAGTGCAGCTCACACACCCTCTTCTGCTCCCAGTCTTGCTGGCAGTGCCCCGGAGGAGATTGAGCAACCCGCTGACGATATCCTAAGCGATTTCGGATCGGATGTTGAGAGCGTCGGCAGCTGGACCGAGGTCGGAAGCTCTGTCAGCGGTGACGACAACTAATTAGACTTGGTGCGCGATTCAACGCCGCCTGAATTTCTTTCTTCTTTCTACTTTTATCATTACAATTTTTAAACGGCGGGAAAAAGGCTTGTATCGATATGAAATTTGGGCAAATTATCAGCATGACAAAGACTACAAGTGTTTTGGGATACCGGGTTTTTATTCTGACATTGTCGCGGAGCTTCGGTTTGGGTTCGATTTGTTTTTGCTCTCTTGTCTTACTTTCACTCTACTCCTTGCGCTTTTCTTTTCTTCTTTCTTTCTTCGTTTTTATGGGTTTATTGATTTTGAGTTCTCATCTGATTTTTGCACAGGGGGGATCTTTAAGATTGCAACGATCTTTGATCTAAATCTTTTCTAGGGATTGGTGTTTTTCTTCTTCATTTTCACTCGGAGAATTGGGAATTGGGATCAATTTGTTTTATTTTCGGCACAAAAGATTATTCAAGGTGACCTATCAGGAGATCACGAGATGATTTTTTCTCCCTCATTTAAAAAAGACACTACCACTTCAAGTAGTTACAGCGTGCACTAAAAAGCTATCTCTATGCGAAGTAGAAGCAGGGGTGAATTAAAAATACGGTCAGAGCACCACATTCTACTTCCCCGTTACTGTTTTGGGGGGACGCATTTCAACTTGTTGGGACACAAGAGGCGTGACAGTCAAGATCAGATAATAGGGGGTTGGCTGGAACTACACATGAAGTTCTCCAGAATTTGGGGTTTTAATCTGCATCAAGGTCATGGACTTAGATCTTTTGTATCTAAGACAAATAATGCATACCCCTGGATCATGGCTTAATAGGGGCACTAGTGGGCCGATCAGTGGATCATAAGATCTCACTCGACGACAAGATGCAATGATTGGTTGTGCTTCCCTGTACAAATTTCAATTTCAATAATAACAATAATGCATGTGATTATAAAAACAAAACGCACTCAATTTCTTCTTTCACTGTCCCATGATTAAACGTGATCCCTCTACAAAAGCAAAACCACCGCTCCAAACAAAATACAAATGACTGGAGACCAAGCCACAAGGGTCTCTGCGGCGTTCTCACTTAATTTGCTGTACCTCTTCCTCAAACTCTCAGGGCTGGTAATGTTGTCTTCGTCGGCTCCGCTCTGCGCTTCAGCATCATCCACGACTTTATCGTCGGTTTCTGCGCCAACTCGGCCGTTTGCTTCATCGACGATGTCGCCAGCGTCCACGTTGTCACCAGCAGTAGCAGCATCGTCTTCAGCTGCGTCACCAGTAGCGGCTGCATCAGCTCCAGTTGCATCATCCTCACCCTCATCAACTTGCTTCTGCTGCCTTCTATCATTATCATCATCCTTATCATCACCCCTATCATCATCCTTATCATGGTCCTTATCATGGTCCTTATGATCATCTTCATGGTAATTATGATCATCGTCATGGTCATTATGATCATCGTCATGGTCCTCACGATCTTCATCATGATCCTTATCATCGTCCCTATTACCTACCCCATCGTTATCACTAATCCTCACCCCCGTGTTAACCGGCAATGCCTCCTCCTTCCTGTCCGCATCTTGCTTCTTCGTTGCACTCGCCTCCGCCGCCGCCGAAATCGCTCCTCCCAGAACATCAGACTCCTTCGCGGCGATGCTGCTCGAAAGCTTATTCAGCTCACTGGCCGGAACATCGGTCACCTTTCCCAGGACCGAAGTCTCGACACTATGTGCGATTGCTGATAGGATACCACCAACTGGACCAAGGAGTTCTTCGTAAATTTCTGGGGCAGCGAGGTCGGTCACCTGTGCTTCGACAGGAGGAGCGGGAATCAGGGAGGTGGCCAGATTAGAAACCTCAGCGCTGGGTTCGTCTTGTCTATGATAGAAAGAGGTTTAGTAGAGTGAGATACGCTCCGGACTTCTTTTTTGGTCATACCCTGTTTCGAGGATTTGAGCCGATGCAGAAGCAATGATACCAGCGAGGAAGATTTCGAAACGCATTTTCAAGTATATTGAGGGGGCTGGGTTATGGGATCGCAATACTTGAGAAGAGAGGAGACATTTAAGGAATTATGCTGAAATGCGTGTTTATACTGAGGACGTATCCTCATGATGTCAATATTCATGATATCGTAAGTACCGGAGACTTTAGTAGTAGTCGCCGGAGAAGGCAAATATTGAGCGTTACCAGATCAGCATTAGTGGTATTCTAATCTATCCAGAACTTTTTAGATATTATGGATGATTCAGTCCAATATATACCTAGTAAAGCAGTACAAGAGGGCATATAAAGAAAGAAAACAAACCTACTCGAGTTTTCTCGACTACAAGGTTTTGGATTCTTTCCTATCCCTGCCTTTACTCGCTCAGTAAGAAGGGAGAAAAGGATACTGTCGGCTCTTGCTCTGTTGTATATATGTTACAAGTGGAATGCAGCCTTCGGTCGTAAATTCGCTAAAGCTTAAGCCTAAGAGAGAGAAATATACTGTCCAATCTATGTACGACCTCTGAGTGGATATTGTAATGTCCATTCTATCCACGAAGCCAGTCATCCATGATATCTATAGATCTATATTAATAGTCAGTACAAACTACCTACCTATGAAAGTGGATGTCGCATCCCTTCCGAACTCGGGAGTGGCTCTTTGTCCACTATCTACACTGCATAGCAGTCCTGGTAGAAGAAAATCAACCAATCATAATGCTTCCTGACCACAAGGAGGAAGATTATACTATTTAGATTTAGACAAATAACGTATTTACTAAACGAATTTAGAACAGCGGCTATTTATATCCGTATGCGTTATAACCACTAAGTAACATCGCATACCCCAATCATATAACACAAAAAGCAGAAAGCGAAAGACTACGGGGTATTTATGTCCAGTTGTCCGAGAAGAAATAAGGGTCATTAAACAGAATTATATCTCGAAAAAAAAGGGAATTAAAACAAAACCAGAGAGAGGATCTTATCAACCCATAGAACGCCTTATCTACCATTTCCATAGGTCCTTTTCAGCATAAGCAAACAAAACACCCCTTAACTAGTGCCAAGGATTTTGGAATAAGCATCCTCGACCTCTCTGGCAATCTCCAATAACGAAACAATTACAATCTATGCGTATTGTCAGAAAAACGTCACTTTGGATATGATCCGGGGGATAGAATAAAATGGGTGAGGTTATTAAGTTACCTGATGCGTCAAATTCGGAAGTCTATCTCTATGCAACCCAATCCACTCCAACGGCGGTGTGGCTTCACCCATGTCTCGCAACTGCGGAGTTTCGATAATGGGTGGTTCGAGCGCGGTGTACTCGTATTTTGACTGAGGAACATTGACAACCGCAGTGATCTTACGCTGCTCACCGCCTTCTGCGCTGTCATTGTCTTCTGCGGCTTCGGATGGAGGTGGAGAATTGGTACTGATTGAAATGTGACTGTTGGTGATTATCTTGCCCTGGCGCTGGGACATTTCCTTAACATGGTTGGCCCACATTCTAATGTTTTGTCAGTAAGTGAATCGCTGTATGTGATTTCAAGGAGGTGATTGCAGACCCTTTGATGAAGCTCACTCTGGAATAATTCCATCCTACGTCCACTTTACCCTTAAAGGCGCTCTTGAAGATGTATTCAATCTCATTAGAGCCGGCCTTGTGCCATGTATGCATAAAGGCCGTCACCTGAGGAACTTTTAGGATCGTTCCACCGCGTGCACCACGAGCATGGTACACGATATCCTCCACGCTCACATCGCCTAGGGAGCTGCCCATCTCCGGTCGTTTGATGGTTGCCAGGGCTATTCTTAACTCGCCAAGCGTCATCTCTAGCTTACTATGGAGTTTCTCAACCTCCATTCCAACGCCAAATTGGGCGGAAGCGTTTAGTGCGTCAAGCTTGAAGACCTGTGTGTCATAGAAAGTGCTGGGGAAGATGCCAATGCTGACTTCCTTCAACATCACCACCACGTCTGTGTAGAGCGACAGGAATGCTGGAGGCTGGGGGCTTTCTCGGTTCAACTGGATAGGAGCAGGATATGATGCTGTGAAATTGGATTGAGAGCGTCTGTTGAGGTACCTTTCTACGTCCTTTAGTGAGATGTTGAAAGCATCGATCTTTTCCTGCCGGAGTCTCAAGAACGCCTGGTAAAGTGCGAGACCTTGAGACGCGCTCAATGTCGTGCAGTAGATCTGGATCTTGTCTCCGTCGAGAACCCCTACTAGTCGATCACCCGCTTTCCCGCCTGCTTTCTGCAGGTTGTACATCAAGAAATGGAAGCTAGTGATGTCGGCTAATAGGAAGGCTTGGTAATCAAAAGACGCCTTGACTTGAAGTTGCTCGAAGCCCAAAGAAGCTTGGATAAGAGGGGTTTGGACGACCTCATCAGCACCAGATAGCCAATGAATCGATGTCCTGACCTTCATGTTCTTGAGGTGGATAAAACCGCTAAGGCGTCCAACAGATGTCACTTTGATGGCATCAAACCCAAGCGACATGGTCTGTTCCCAGTCGGAGCTCTTTCGCGAGTCCATCCAGAGGTTTGATATTAGCAAGGAATTCTTGCCAAGCGACTGGCCCAGATCGAGCTGAAGATCAATCTCAGAAATCGACACAGCTGTATTCCATGGAAAAGCCTTTGTAGCAGCAACTCTGTGGTATCTTTGTACCAACATCGGGGAGGGCTCAGGGGACCGGATAATCGGAGCCGGCGAGCTTTTACGTATCTCTTCGGGTAGCCAGATCTCACGGAACAGTAGGAAATCCTGGAATTGCTTGATATTGAGTTGCGACTTGATGGGGCTCATCTTCATAATACATGAGAGGCCATCGGAGCCGTTCAGGTGTTTGCTGTTCATCAAAGACGCAACAACTTCCCGAACTTGCAACTGACCGGTAGAATCCCGTGAATAAACGTGCTTCAATGACGCTTCAAACCCAGAAGCAATGACCGATAAGGCATAGAATCGACCACCCACAGCTTCCTCACAAGTACTGAGAGTAACATAGATCTCGTCATAGCCTGCAGAAGCGGCTACACGCGCGATGGGTTGACAGCTCAACGTGAATTCCTGTTTGCAGATTCGCAAGCCGATATTGAGTCGGCACTTGCCAAGGATAGCTGCCGGGCCAGGAGAAGTTTCTTTGGGTTCTGTCGGACTAATGTCTGGGGTTTCTTCTGGTTTCGTTTCGGTGGGTTCCCGCATAACCTCTTTGATATTTGAGGACATCTCCAAGATCAGGGGTACGACTGAAGGATAAAGTATATTGCTTGATGCGCTGATCTTGATTTCAGCGTTAAGTGATGGGTCCTCGTCTATCGGCGCAACATATTCTGCCTTGAAGGCCAGACCTGGGGATTTGAGTATTGTTATACCATTTGAATCCCCGTGAGCGAATTGCCCATAACGGCCTTGTGATGATGATGCTCGGGATGCCAATTTTTCCAACTCTGTTGACTCTGACGCTTTACTAATATGGACGACGGCACCAGCAAAATCGGCGTCCACAAGGACAGATCTAAGCCTTTTTGTACCAAACATGTTTTCTCTCTCCGCACCACTTTCTGTGGGTGTCGATTTCCAGGTTGCTGAAGCATCGCGAAACTTTTCGCTCGCAGTAGCAATGGAGGTTTCCAACTGGTTTATCCCAACCACACATGAAGAAGTAAGACGTAGGTCCAACGAGGTTCCCTTAGCTTGGAAGGCAAGACGTCTGTCCGCATCGTTCAAAAAGTATGCGACGTTGAAGACGACCTCAGGCATAATTGCAGAGTTCTCAGAACGGCTGGTTACCTTGCTGTCTTGGTCAACCATCTGGACCAAGAACTCTTCGATTGTTAGACGCGCTTCATTTGCTTTCTTTGTAGCAGTTGCAAAGTTGATTCTCTTGAAAGAGAGTACTAGGTTCTGTCTCGTGTGGTTCAGTGAGATGGGCTGAGTTGAGGCGCCCGTGATCCAAGAGATCTGGATTCCTTTCATTTCCACTGAAATGACCGAGGTGAACAGCTGCATAGAGTTTCTGCCCTTTTCAGATCCTACTGATTCAATGGGGACAAGCGGTTTAGAACTGCGGAGCTTTCGAAGATATTTGACTTCTCTTGACAGATCCAAGTCTCGTAACTTATCTTGAAGATGGCCCGCAACATCAACAATTGTGGAGGCAGTCTCTGCAAAGAGGTCTATTTGGAGAGAGTGGCTGGTGACGTAAAATGCGCGAACGATCTTTCCACCAGCAGATTCTGTCGAAGAGCATAAGATAGATGCATGTAGCTCTACGTATCCACAAGTTTCAAGTGAGCCATCAGTTGTAACCTTTGTTAGCTCAACTGTGATTTCTCGGAACTCCACATGAACCTCAGGAAGTAAGAGTATGTCGGCGTTAGGCTTGTTTGAAGCATGGACTCGAATGCAGCCTAGGTCAATATTTAGAGTTGCCGATGGAGCAGAACTTTGAATCGTCAACCCAGAGACCCCTACATGAGCACGGTATACAAGAGGCGTTCCTGTTTTGACGGAGGGTACAGGAGGTTTATCTGGTGTATCAAAGATTTCGTCCAATCTCGCCTGAGTACCTATCCATTCAACCCTCGCACTTTCGATGACGTTCCCAACTTCAGGTTTGGTAAGGACGTTAAGTAAACTTTGAATAGAGGATGCGTCTAGTTTAATCGTTTCCACGGAGATAAAGACCTCTATCAATTGTTCTTCCGCTGAATCTTGGTGTCTGACTCTTCCATTGATCGATGGCATCTGCAAAACCGAGATACTCCTGGTTTGCGCTTTATCATAACCTGTTCTAATCTCATGCTCGTGGTAAAGAACGTCGAAATCTAGGATGATTTCTTCTGTGGCATGTTTTGGTCTGGTGGAGCCCCTGACCCCATTCCCGCGCATGACATAGGCCAAAGAAGGCAGCAGGGTTGCCTCAATAGTAAAGTTCTCTAGAGATAATGTCAAATGAAGGACATGCACATTACGCCGGGGAAAAAATGGAAAAGCCGGTGA